GCCAATTTTCAGCCAAATCGGTTTAGCCGTTCTGGAGTTATAAATAGTATAACTAACACGACTTTCTTTTATATATATATATATATATATATATATATATATATATATATATATATATATATATATATATATATATATAGATTTTATTCAGCCAGCTAAAATAACTTGATAAAGATTATTTTTATATCATGCCACATTTACTTTTAGAACTTACTTACTTATTGTACTTAACTGTCTCGATATGTTCAATAATTAAGCCGAGAGGACATTTGAGCAGTATCAACACTGGTTAGGACTAGTTGTGACAGTTGCGATGTAGATTAGGTTCCATGCAAGTAGATCTCACGCACGCGATCTCGTTCCAACGCTCACGGAATGCTGCTTTTTGTCATCGACGATAATTATGATTATCGTAGCATATGAAATACGGCCTCAATACTGCTCTATAAGAGTCACGTTGCGTCACGGAGGTGCGTGTTATCTCCAAGATAGTGTCGATAAGATGATTCAAATTTTGTACTTTGATTATGTGTAACAGCTTGTATTTTATATTGAATATTAAAAAAACTTGATAACAAATATTTAAATTACACATTAGAAATGACCTTTGTAGCTCAATAAAAAATCGATGTCTCGACGTTGTTAAATAATTCGAGTAATACGTTTTATATTTTATTCAAACACTTCTTAAATAACAGATTAGGTGCCTTAAAGCTATGGCCCACAGTGTTCTAGTCAAGTCATGACGATCATGTATTTGTGTGGCTTCGCCAAATCGGCACATACGATGCGCGGTGAGCAGCCAGCCAAGCGAGACTGCGCCCGCCTGACCCCGTTCCCACGACTCTTCATGACCAGGTGGCAGGTGACCCCTGATACCGAGCGCTCGCGTCCTTGATTAAAGTGTCTTGATAAATCAATAAACAAACGATACTTCGATGATTTGATGGTACTTTGAACTATGCAACTTTCTCCCCCGTTCGCGTTAAACGTAAATGATTTAAACTGACGATTTTCCTAATGTCAATTAAGATCAATGAAACAAGTTAATATTATTATGTAGTACATGTCTTGATATATAATTAAACTCTCATTGCCCGCGGCTCCGCCCGCGTTCAGATGACCAAAAACCAAATTCTTAGGTTTTACATATTAGTATACTCTTACCATTCAGTTTTTGTATTTTCTCTCAGAAATGAGATAATTTCCCGCGGTAAAAAGTATCCTATATGTTGACCCGGATAACCAGCTATCATCATACCAAATTTCATCAAAATCTGTCCAGTGGTTTTCTCGTGATGCGGTAACAGACAGACAGACAGACAAAAATGCTAAAAACTATAGATTCGGCTTCTGTATCGATAATAATGTCTATTTCAATTAGATTTTCCAAAAAATATTTAATGTACAGATTCGACTTAGTTACAATTTTATTATATGTAATAATTAAATATTTTATTGGAAAATGGTTCGTCGTGTTTACGGTAAAGAATTTTATTAAGTTCGAACGAAATGTAAGCGAATTACAGACGAGTGAAAGTGCTGCGACGTGCACAGAGACGACCTTGCTGCCACGCACACGCGTAACGAACCTCGTTTGCTCCTATACTCGGCACTCGACAACCTGTACAACTTGGTACTGGTACACACAGCATACCAATCCGGTCAGTTAATCTCTCGCGATCTTTGCACGACGGGCGCATAAGAAACAAACTGTCGTTTAAAGCCAATTTTTATAAATTTCATCTTAATTAAGATAATTATGTCTAATTCAACGTCGTGCGAAGTGCCGCAACGCTCCAAACAGGTTAAAGACGAGTTGGATAAAACGATGTCGCCTTCGCACGACATGGCCGAGATGCGGCGCGCGAACCTATCAATGGTGAAGAGAAATGTCTCACACGTTCGCGAGTTTCTCTAAATCAAATCTTTCCAATCGCATACGTGCCTGAATTGACACGCTTATTTGTTATAATTGATAAATTTCTATATAACATGTCCAATTCTAGGGTTGTACGATACTATAAGGTGGCAAATATACTTAGATGGTGGACTCGACTTGCGGCCGACATTGCAAGAATGTTTGCAAGAACAGCTGATATAGTGATCGCGGACACGAGGTTGTTGACCATACTTTCGCTCCCGCGGCTCGGTGCTGTTAAACTTCTTAAAGTACAAGGAGCTAAATCTAAATATAATTTTCTATTGATGGCCACTTTGCTCCGCCACTTTAAACATTTGTACTCTGAACTATCACTCTACATACTAATACAATATGTACAATACTTAGATCATAATCTAAGGAGGTCATTTAAGATTTGTCCACTTGACTTTTTCATTATTTAAAGACTAGGTTTTATATAACTAATAAGCTTTATATGATTTTAAGATTTATTTATTGCAATATGACGAATATTATCGTGCTGTTATTAAAGTAGAAATGTATTGATAAAAAGATGAAATGTAACAGCCGGAAACTGTGGTGGAGAAAACAGCGAGATGCGTTACCACGGCTGTCAGGAGAATGGTCTCCGAGGACGATGAGGAGGCGGCGTATGATAGGGCAGATGATATGGTAACAATGTAGAAACGCTAGTTAATGCTAATCGATTCTATTATAAATATACTATTATAGAGATTGTTACGTAATATTTAAAAGGTTTCTTATCAATAGGAACGCTAGAATTTTATCTCTTCCTATTCTTTATAAGGCTTTTTTGTACATGTGTTTAGATTTCACGGTATATCGACTTTGTGTGTACATACATTTGTTGTATTTTCTCGGTCATACAGTAAAGTTACATAGATGCTCATGTTTTCCTCAATTTTTAGTATGTCTTTACCCGTTTTACTAGTTATTGGTGATTTACCTTATACTTAAGAGCATCTTATATTATTAGCAAAGATAAAAAAAATGGACTAAGACAAGGACGATTTTTTTAATTATTCTTAACATATAACAATTAAATTATAATAAAAATGGCTAACAAATATTAAAGTGTCATAAACTTAATATTCAATAAATTCGATTATAGTACGGTGTGTAGTACCTAGATAGCGTACCGTTTGACTATCAACTTCATACGCGGATCGCATCACAATATCTTATCAGATCCTGTTGTCTCGAATATTTGAAGATAATATTAATATACTACTGTATAGTTTACGCCGTTTGTTATCACACAAACATTTTAAATTACTTATAATTTTAGAGAAATTCTTTTGAATGCATTTTAAAACGTTAAAGTTGCTCATTAAATTATATGGAGTCATTCTCGTTATTTATAATTACGTAATTATTCTTTGTAAACTCCCACTTTCCTCTGTGAGGCGTTGTTGATAGCAATTGTGCCTAATGCCTATGTAATACAGCAATACCATTGGTTTTAATAGCCTTTTAATATTAAATAATAACTATTTATTGTTATGTACATATTTTAGATATCAAAAGTGTAAAGTATGAGTTTAGCATATATTTATCACGCCACATTCAATGACGTTGGTTAGAAATTTAAGTTTTATTATTTTTACGATGCCAGCGGATGTGTTTTCACTGGTTAAATACATATTCATATGTGAAATTGCCACTTTTTGTTTTTTGTTTTGGAGTCATATGAACGCTCACGATACATCGATATTTGAAAGATTTTAAAACTTGAACTAAATGAAATTATGTATTTTCCAGTTAAATCGACGACGACATCTCGTTGCGACACATTGTTTTTATTTTTTAATGCAGCTCGATTTCATATTATATGCACTCGTTTAGTATTCTGATTCGTGTCGATTGTACCCTTGAAATGTTGTTTGCCAAAAACTGTGGCTGAATTGTAATTAATTGTTGCCTTTTTAACGCTTTCCCTGGACACCTGGGCACGCCACGAAGTCAGGGTCGCTACCGTTCTCCAGATGGGTAAGATATGATGTATCTAGTTGAATTGTATTCTGTACTGCAGAAGATTCTGCAGAATCATAAGATCTTAGTATCGATGTTGGAACAATTGCATTGATCATTGGATCTATTTCTTATTATATTACCTTAAACGTTTTTAAACGAAAATATGTCGAAAGTAGTTTAATTATAATAGTGAATAATCACTATCACTTTATATAGGTATAAACCTATATAAAGTTTAAATAGATTAATGCCCGATTTCACCAACATCCCATAAGCTACCACCTACGTATGGGATCCCTAGCTTAAAAGTTCCCCTAAACTAGCCCCTAAATTAAATTTCGTTTTATCATCGTCAGAGCCAGTATATGTAATACCTATATTTAGGTGGTATTTTAACATTCAGGTGACCCCTAACTGTCTGTGAAACAGAAACTGTCCCCTAACAGCCCCCTAACCATGATTACATGATCCCTTAAACTTAGGTGACGTTGGTGAAATCGGCCATAAATATCTTTCAATCAGATTATAATGAATAAGCCACCTGTCGATTTTTTTATATCCTATTACAAGATTAAACGTTTAAGCAATTAATACTCAATGTTTTCGCCAAAGGAACAGAATATAATAACGATTTTATTGAAGGCTGTACGCGTGTAATCATTACCCATTTATCTTAAAAACCTTGTAATGGCATGTTGTCATCGGAGCATTATAGGCCGCGACAGAGGTTAAGGAGATTTCCTCGTAAATTTCAATAAACACATACGATGACTAAGTACTTGCCTCACAGATGTTTCAGCAATAACATGATACATTATACATAAGTATATTGATGACGCCAACACAACGTTTAGACAGATAGCTACCCGTGGGAATTGGTTATTTAATAATAGTATTTAATAAAAGCTAAAACTTTAAGAACAATTAATTAGCTATTATGTAATTTTACAGTCGAAATTATGGCATTTTATATAATATTAAGAATTAATTATAAAAGTAAATATGAAATAATGATAATAAGTAAATAGGGATTTCTAGGATTTCAGACGGTCCATTACCTGTTGGTATATAGCCTACATGTAAATGTCCTTACTATTTCCAGGTAATGCAACAGGATGTCAAGAAGGAGAATCCACTACAGTTCAAGTTCCGAGCCAAATTCTATCCCGAGGATGTTGCCGACGAGCTCATCCAGGAGATCACGCTCAAACTCTTCTACTTACAAGTACGTATATTATACTTATATTGTATTTAAATAATAGAACGTTAATATATATTAATTACAGGTAAATGAGAAAGACGAAAAAAGCTTTATATAAGCGTTGTCAGGATCGTTGCTGGATCTTTTAAGTTTATATGTGATGGACTATTACAGTACCTAAAACTTTGATTGTCAAATCCTTTTATTTTGTTGTCTGCTGCCTTTGTATGAATGTGGTAAAACAGCTCAGAATGATATCCAGAAAAACAGTATTAGATAATAAAAAAAATATATTCATTGCTTTTTTAAATGCTTGTTTAACATTTCACGTTAGAATGTTAATCCCCGACGGTCCACTTGACACATCAAAAATCTACTGACAAACCAACCAAGTGACACGTTGAATGAATGAATGTTACAGTGGAGAATCTCTTTAAGTTTTCTATAGTGATCCAAGTGATTAAAAACTACATACTAAATCTTTTCCTTTCCTCCAACTACAAACTCTGGCTAAGCAGGAATAGAAGAGATTCTAAAAGTGTTGCTACTATTCTGCAGGCTTTTATCAAAAGACAAAAATTTCTCACCATTTCAATCTTGTAATCAGGTGAAGAACGCGATCCTCTCGGACGAGATATACTGCCCGCCGGAGACGTCGGTGCTGCTCGCGTCGTACGCGGTGCAGGCGCGGCACGGCGACCACAACCCCTCCATACACGGGCCCGGGTTCCTCGCCAACGACCGCTTGCTGCCGCAGCGTGTTACTGATCAACATAAGGTTTGTGTCGATACTTATTCAGTATATATTTTGAATTAAATTTTGAATAAGACCCCCACTTTGCGTTTCTTTGGGCTAAACTTGGAAACATTTGGAACGGGTTCTCACAGGTTTTCATCAATAGCAATAGGTATTATTTAGGAAGGTAACACACCATAATTTATTACATGTTACGAAAAAATTGGCCCATTTGAGAACTTCCGTAATATTATAAATACCATCGTCTAAGGACACTGGACTACTAATACTAGTAAGTTTATAATTTTTCTTTACAATTGTTAATATACCATTATTCAAATAAAACGAACTTTTGTAGGAATATTTTGGGGACAGTTAAAATTATATTGGTATAGGACATTCGAGATGCAAACGCAACTCGCACTTGGGTTGCTTATTTTTCCTCAATGTCTTTACAGTTATCATAAAAGAGGTAATTATGTATCATATATTACATGGCAGGTTACCATTTTGTTTTGTAGCATTTTATTAATATATAATACTAGCGACTCACCGCCGCTTCGCTCGGGTTCTTCCCTACTTATGTTTTAATATTTAGTATAGATTTCTTAGAGATGATATATTCTCCCGTAGTAAAAAGTATTCTATATGTTGATCCGGGTAACCAGTTATCATTATACCAAATTTCATCAAAATCTGCCTAGTGGTTTTTCCGTGATGCGATCACAGACTGACAGAGAGACGAAAATTCTAAAAACTAGATTCAAATCATTAATATTTAATGTACAGATTCGGCTTAGTTACAATTTTATTATATGTATAGATTTGTGTAGCTTCTTTAATTACCAAGAATGTGAAAATAATATGATCTTTGTAAAAAAAAACTCTTGATGAAACCTCCACCACTCGCACCGGCAGATGTCGCGCGAGGAGTGGGAGCAGAGCATCACGAACTGGTGGCAGGAGCACCGCGGCATGCTGCGCGAGGACGCCATGATGGAGTACCTCAAGATCGCGCAGGACCTGGAGATGTACGGCGTCAACTACTTCGAGATACGCAACAAGAAGAACACCGAGCTCTGGCTCGGCGTCGACGCGCTCGGACTCAACATATACGAGAAGGATGATAAGTGAGTACACGTTTTTGACACGCTTTATATAGTAAACTAGCATTGCCCGCGGCTCCGCCCGCGTTCTGGTGACCAAAAACCAAATTCTTAGGTTTTACATATTAGTATACTGTTACATTTTTGTATTTTTTCTCAGAAATGAGACATTTTCCCGCGGTTAAAAGTATCGTATATGTTGATCCGGATAACCATCTATCACCATACTAAATTTCGTCAAAATCACTCCAGTGGTTTTGCTGTGATGCGGTAACAGACAGAAAGACAGACAAAAAACCTAAAAACTATAGATTCGGCCTCTGTATCTATAATAATGTTTATTTCAATAAGATTTTCCAAAAAATCTTTAATGTACAGATTCGGCTTAGTTACAATTTTATTATATGTATAGATATATTTCTACGTGACATTGGCGAAGTAATCTGTGCTCAATTGACACGATTTGAAGCCATTAATAAGAGAATTGAATTGAAATTAAATAATTCGGGTGTATGTTTTTTTTTGTGTTTGCGTTACGCGATATATTCGCTTAGTGAGAAAGGATTTTTGTAATAGTTTATATATACATATACCCTAAAAGTGGTCAAATTTATTTAAATTTTAGAACGTATATGTCGAATAATTAAGTGTATTAAAAGTGATTTTGGGGTTGAAAAAATAATAGCTTCGTAAGCAATTAAAAAATATTGCACATTGGAGTCATCTAATAAATATGACATACGCCAAACAATGCCTATCATAATAAAAAAAGCTGTGTGTGTACTGTATGTACGCACGTAAGAAGTTATACTTATTTGGCGTAACAGAACAAAAATAGCTAAAGATTATATCTCGTATGTCACAACTATCTGTTTGTAAAAGGAATGCAGCTGACTTCATCATGTCGCGTTTTGGCTGTCGGTGTCCGCGCGCATCGTAAAAATTTTACTCTCATAATTTTTTCCAAACGTGCCAAAAGAACAATGACTTCAAAAAAGGATTTATAATATTTACGATTTGTTATTTTCAATATATAAATTATATACGAAGATATTAAATTAAAACTTACATATTTATACGTAATATTCACAGCCAATGATATTCCCTCGGTGTTTAATTACATTTTGCCTCACAACTCGGCTCCCTGACGCCGTAGTTCAGATAAAACATATCCTATATCACACGCTATAAAGTTTCCTCTGTGTAGCGCACTGTAAATCCAGTCTACGGACACAATATTAACAATGGATCGTGAAAACGGTTTATGATGACAGAGAAACAGTATTAATATAATGTTTTTATTATATTATATTTTAGTATATTACGTTTTAACTTTTAGCTATATGTCATCTCTGAGATATTTTTCCGCAGTAAAAAGTATCCTATATGTTGACCCGGATAACCAGCTATCATCATACCAAATTTGATCAAAATCAGTCTCATACAGACAGACAAAAATTCTAAAAACTATAGATTCAGCCTCTGTGTCGATAATAATGACTATTTCAATAAGACTCAAAAAAATATTTAATGTCTTAGTTAGAATTTTATTATATGTATAGATATACAATAGGTAGTCGTAAGCAGGTAGTCGCATATTCGGAGGTCCTGGGTTCGAATCTCAAGTCGGGCTAAATGTAGTTATTACATCAAAAAATAAATTCCAATGGACTTTAAATATAAAGGAATAGAAAGCGTACTTGTGTTTGCACACACATTTGTGCACTATAATATCTCTCGCACAGGTGGTTAATCTCATTTTCTGTGAGAAGGGAGTCAGAAGATGCAATCTTGGTCACAGGAGATACTCCATGATTATTGTAAAGCATTCGAAACTTCGAAAATCAAGGATCAAAATAAATTCGCGAAAACATACGAAAATATAGTTTGGTTTAAACTGTCTGTTACATATTATGTAACTAAAAGGCGCTGCTAGGTACATATATAATATAAATACAAATAACGAAATTAGCAGTAGGTATTGCTTATTAAAAGTAGTTTTGAAGTCACATAATCGATTCAATGATAAGTATACTCTCGTCGCGAGCGACATGCGGGTGTAGCCTTCGGGGTGTTTACCTTGTATAGGCAACATGTTAAATTATTTGTGTAATTAATAAATATCTTAATCGTAATCTATGCTCAACTGCCACGCTTTGAAGTCATTAACAAGATAATTGAGTTCAACTTTTTATGTTATTATATTTTGTTTCTCGACGTTTCGAATGTTTTACAGCAAACATGGTCACTAAAGTTTTGGACGCTTAAGTTAAAGCCGCCTGCTATGCATCTTTCATTTATTTAATTTTAATTTCTCAGTGGGCAATACAGTGTAAACATAAAAAATAACATGTAGGAATGCACACGAGTGAAGCTGTGATAGATCTCGAGTATAATATATGTATGTATCGATGCAATAATAAATTTGCAGGCTGACCCCCAAGATCGGGTTCCCGTGGTCGGAGATCCGCAACATCTCGTTCAACGACCGCAAGTTCATAATAAAGCCGATCGACAAGAAGGCGCCGGACTTCGTGTTCTTCGCGCCGCGCGTGCGCGTCAACAAGCGCATCCTGGCGCTGTGCATGGGCAACCACGAGCTGTACATGCGCCGCCGCAAGCCCGACACCATCGACGTGCAGCAGATGAAGGCGCAGGCGCGCGAGGAGAAGCTCGCCAAGCAGGCGCAGAGGTACGCACGCGCACGCACACCACATATTATACAAATATGACTGAAAAAAGTTTTACTTTATTTATTTATATATTTATTAACACCGACAAGACACACGCTAACAAAAGCTTAATAATATAATTACAATAAGTAATAAATTCTGAGTGCCACCTCAATTACAGGTGTTACACACATTTCATAAAAGATAGACACAAATACAAGTAGTGAATTAAAATAAATACAAAAATTATGGGAATATTATATAAATTAAACTTTACATCGGCTGGCACCGAATTCGAAAGTTTTTTTACATTTTTAGTGTAGACGTAATATGCAGGTAATTTGTAAGAAGAAAGTTTTTTAATAACTTTTCTATAAAATTAACGCTTTCGATAAAATTTAAACGGGAAGGGTATACTTCCCTGGTGAAGTATACCCTTCGAAACAAAAAAAACCAAATCGGTTCAGGCGTCTCCAGGTAATCGATGAACATACATAAAAAAACAAAGATTGTGACGAATTGAGAACTTCCTCCTTTTTGAAAGTCGGTTAAAATTAAGTTTGTATATCTTGATTAAACCTAGTACTCAAAAAACGCGTAAAGTCCGCCACCATGCATTTAGCCAGCTCACAGTTAGTGGACTATGACCTGAACTTGTTTAAGGACATTATAAGAGCTGAGTTATTTATTTATATATAATTGTTTAGAGAGAAGCTGCAGCTGGAGATCGCGGCCCGCGAGCGCGCCGAGAAGAAGCAGCAGGAGTACGAGGACCGTCTGCGTCAGATGCAGGAGGAGATGGAGCGCTCGCAGGTACTTGTTTTGTTAAATCTCTACTCTTTTACTAAATGGATTGTTTGTTTGTGGAAACTTTATTGGTGTTTTTACTATTATTATTGTCTTTTGTTGTTTGTGTTGTAACACTGTTTCCCTAATAATAAAATATTATTAATATATTTGTTATTGTAAGAACTAGGGTATATTCCAAGGTTCCAAGATTTCCGGACTTTTAAACTTTATCAAACCATCAATAATAAATTGTACTTCTTACTTACCGACCAATAATGATAAAAAGCTTGAAAATTCGCCTCTTTTCTATATAAAGTTAAGATTTAGATATATATGGGGTTTTATACTAACTTACATATAACTTCAATGGGTTTATACAAGAACTCGCTTCAGTAAAGCGTAGTCTAATACATACTCCCATATTATATTAACTAATATATTATTATTATATTGAGACTTATTTATTTCATATTTTTTCATGGATTTGCATCATATTATATAGTATATTCGGATAAATAAAAGTTTAAAAATTTTATATAAAAAAGTTGTACTTCATTTTATAATGAAATAAATAGTTAATTTTGTGTTTGTCTGTCTTGATGTACTATAAATTGATTGGTTTATCGCATATTTAACAATTATTTGGTACCCTTCAGGCGAATCTAATCGAGGCGCAGGAGATGATCCGGCGGCTGGAGGAGCAGCTGCGCCAGCTGCAGGCCGCCAAGGAGGAGCTCGAGCAGCGCCAGAACGAGCTGCAGGCCATGATGCAGCGCCTCGAGGAGACCAAGGTGACGTACACACGTACATACATACACACGCTCACATACATATATACATACATACATGTTAGTATTTTTATTTATGAGTGTATGATTTTTTCTCTTCAATCGAAAAATTGTCATAAAGGAATCGATGCCCATTTTCATAAACGTTCAAGTTGTTTCTTTATTTTTTTTTTATTTTTACTTTTTTATTTGAAATTATTATTAACTCATAGTGTTGTCAATTTGAATAATATGAACAAATAATAAGAAAAGGAAGAAAATTAAATCAAAACAAAATCCCTCAAGTGGCATCATAATATATTGTATCCTGAATGTGTGTGTAACATTATGATGAATCCATGTACAGAACATGGAAGCGGCCGAGCGCCAGAAACTGGAGGACGAGATCGCGGCGAAACAGGAGGAGGTGTCCCGCATCCAGCAGGAGGTGGAACTGAAGGATTCGGAGACTCGCCGGCTACAGGACGAGGTGGAGGAGGCGCGCCGCAAGCAGGACGAGGCGGCCGCGCTGCTGGCGGCGGCCACCACGCCCACGCACCACCACGTGGCCGAGCAGCAGGGCTCCGGCGACGGCGACGGCGACGGCTCGGGCTCCGACGGCGGCTCCGACGCGGGCGGCGGCGAGCTGGCGCGCGGCCCCGACGACCTGGTGGACCCGCTGGCCGAGCGCCGCACGCTCGCCGAGCGCTCCGAGCGACTCCACAATCAGCTTAAGGTTGTTCGCATTCATATATCTATCTAGTCTCTATACCCCATACCTACCCTTTTGACGAGACGATATACACACTAACTATCCGGTATCCATAACACATGCCTCGTAGCTTACCATGGATCCAGATGGTGCTGTGTGGTAATGTCCCAACGTGTTTATTTATTTATTAATACGTTACAGGCTCTCAAACAAGACCTGGCCCAGTCCCGGGACGAGACCAAGGAGACAGCCATGGACAAAATCCACCGCGAGAATGTCCGTCAGGGACGCGACAAGTACAAAACCCTGCGCGAGATCCGCAAGGGCAACACCAAGCGCCGCGTCGACCAGTTCGAGAACATGTAACTGCATGTCCACTACCACCATTTGTACGGACCTCGCTTTGCGCCACACAACTCGATTCAGTATCGATTCATTAATCATTATCGTAATTAATATAATCGGAAATCTCAGTTTTGTATCAAATGTTGTTGCAACTTACACAAGCTCTCCTTCGTGTCTTCTTCATCCTACGTGATATTGACGAAGGAATCTGTGCTCAAATGGCACGTTTTGAAGTCATTGATAAGAGAGTTGATTTGGATTGAATCACATTATGCTCGAGTATGACTCACGATTGGAAATCGATTCGCAATTTAAGTTAGCATTTTTCAATTGTAACGCATGATCGATTTGCAATAGCGCAAAACGAGGTTCCATATTTCGACCATTTTTGGAAAATTTGTACACAATTTATATTAGATGCGTATGGGAAATGTTTTGTATGTATGTACGTGAAGCTCGGCCACGGAGCGGTGCTGTCTGGATCCGTCGGGCGTAGTCGGGACTAAGTGTAAATATTGATAATTATTACTTAATAGTAATTTTATTTTAGTATATAATGTGCTATAATGGAATATAATATACTTTGAAGTGTCGAAGATTCGTGGGCGTTTGTGGACTGTCTGTCTGTACGTTGAAGGGGTTTCTGTTGACGGGTTTTTATTATTTATAAAAATGTTTTTTTTTTTTTAGAATTTGCATTTGTTCGAGTGCCTCATTGTTCGTTAATTTTCTTAAATGCATCAATATAAATATATAATTAATTACGCGATAAGACTCGACCCCGAGGCTCGCTGCAGCGAGAGATCCGGCAAACGCATTCAATTATAGTTATTGTCAACGATTTTGATTCTATTGAGTATCTATTTTCGATGGAGGGTCAGAGTGCGACCGAACGTGTCGGAGGGACTGTTGAGATATTACTAAGGCAGAGTATTAACACAAAGTGTCAAACGACATAACGTTTTGGAGGATGTTTACGGCTAGTTTTGCTCAAAATGTCCGCGCGGTTAGAGGGAGAGGGCGAGTGCCCTTATTTATTTTTATAATCATTTATATTCTAGTTGTAGTAGGCGTTAGCTTCGAGTTTAATTATCGTTTGAATTGGTCTGTTCCCTGTTAGAGCTCGACTTGCTTCTAATTCGTACCAAAAATTCTGACGTATGTAATTTTTGATATGAATTGGACTCCGTTAAACCCATCCAAGATTAGATCGCGAGTTCCGCTGACGCTGATATTACCGATGTCGACCGAAGTCGGCCTACAACCGTTCACTGGATCCTGAACAAAATTCTAAAGCTAAATATTTTATTGTATGCTTATAGGATGTGTATAATGTTATTTTTAAGTGTAATAAAGGCATTCCATAAGTGACGATGCGGTGGCGTGTACTTGGTTCTGAGAAAATTTGAGGATAATAGTTGTTTTGTACGTTATTAACATTAACAATAAGTGCCATCCGTCGCAGCCGGCTCTGTCTCCTCACAGCGCCTCGTCCTACCACTGTCCACTATACTGCAGTATTGAAAGATATATGTCGTCATAATTTCTAAAAATATACAATACCACGTTGCCTTTCAATATAGGATGAAATCTTTTTCCAATAAAATGTTTAAGTAAATAAATTGACTTTTATTTCAATATGTCACCATTCATTCATTTACACAGATAACACTAATCTAAGATTTAGACAGATAAAAAATAATCACATTTGTTTTATATTACTTCATTGCTATTATGGAAAAAAGTGTGTGTGTGAACATTTTACACACGGTAGAAGTGATACTTCGGAAAAGTAACCTACGACAGAATGAGATAAATATAAAGTATCAGGAGTAGGATAATTGTAAGGTTTTTTTACTAATATTTTTACCAAGTTTAAAAGTTATTTTAAATTTAATTTAATATACATATTATTTTTCACTTCCTGTGTAACATATTCTATCTCATTCTCTCGTCGGCTTAATCCTATGTTTGTCTCTGTCGTGACGCAATTTCGTTTCATCGAGTGTCAAATCATAACGTTTCTAAAGAAGTTTCACTTCGAAATAAATAGAATTACATGGAATGTTAAAACTATTGAAAATGATTTGCATGAGAGATATTATATCATTTAAAACATTTACATTATTAATTTTTATATACAAAGCTCAGACTTAATGAATTATTTATAAATTACTTACATGACTATCAAAATAGATCTTATATAACTATAGATAAATAGCCACTTGAAAATTTGGTGCCGTGGCGAAACTTAAAATCATGGAAAGTACAGTAAAACTGTTTGATAAATATAAAATAATAAACTTTTTATTCATAAATAGAGATTGGATATAGAACATAGTAATTTTACAGAATAGGTTTGTTTGTACAGTTCAAATCAGGCGGGTGAAGTATGGTAATGTATTTTATATGAATATATGTATATACTTCTTAATATATTATATTACATTTAATAAAAGAACGACTACATTTTAAATTACATATTATAATTCATTACATTATATTATGTAATTAATTTCATGTAAAACCCACTCAAACAGCTGGTGTACTAACCAACAACTTTCGAGGGATAAAAAGAAATACACTAAAATCACTGAAATGAAGTCAGTGTTAACTGGAACAGACTATTTTAAGTATCTTAATTGCTTACAAAATTTAATTCTTAGTACCTGCAGTTAAACCTATCCACTGTATTCTAAAATAAATATTTCATGGAATATAAAATAACTAATTACAAATATTCAATATCGCGTTGTATCTATCTCCAATAAAGCTGGTTATAATTTTTTTAATGATGGGATGTTTTATCATAATTTATTTTTTCACACACTTTTACATGCTTGTCGCCTTAAGTTGAATAGCTAACAATCAGAATGTAAAAGGCAAACTTATTGGCTATTATTATAATTTTAGGCGGTGAAAATGAATAAATAACTATATAATATAATGCTATGCTACTATCCTGTACTATATTGTATTGTTTTATACATATTAATTCAATTACTTAGTCATTTATACAGTAAATTGTTGTTGTTGTGACATTTCCTTATATTTTGGCTAACAAAGATACAGGTAAGGAAGATTGAATCTTTATAAGAATTAAATATAAGAAATATTGTTTGGTAGAAATTTAAAAGAAATTAATTAAAAAAAATTGCATTCGTATTTTATATGTTACTAAATTATCAATTATATTTTTTATAATAATAATTTCATTATTATTGTACTTTATTTACAAATTGAATAATTTATAAAGAAAAAGTTTAACAAATTTAAGTAAAGCCATACACTTGTATGGCCACTAATAATTTCCAAATCCACATAGGTTTTCCTTACCTCTACTGGAGGGCGGCAGCAGTGCTGGTCGACGCGACGGGGGCGGGCGGCGCTGCTAGGGCGGGCGGCGCCGTGTGGGCGGGCGGCGCTGCTAGGGCGGGCGGCGCCGCTCGGGCGGGTTCGGCGCGGTGCTGCAGGCGCAGGTGGCGCAGCAGCGAGCTGTGGTCGCTGAAGCGGCGTTGGCACGCGCCGCACGCGAACACGCGCCCGTTGTGCTGCTGCGTGTGCCGGCTGAGGCCTGTCGGCACATTCATTACATAGTCGGATTAATGATATATTACTTATATTTATATAAAATAATATTTCTTTGTATGTTTGTCTAAACGTTTCCAAACCGTTCTTCCCTATGGACGGAACCGAGTGAAGTTAGAATGTAACAGATCAAACGTTATAAAATAAAATAAAAATGAACAGGCTAATAAAAAAAATTGTGTTTAATGTAAAGTACACTAATATAATTTCGCACTAAAATAATTTGAAATTATTTAAAGCAATACTGTGCTATTACTTTTAACTCATTGAACTACAAATCCCCGGACATTAAAAAATCCTAGGTATCAAGTAAAGCACGGGGTGGCCACTCACCGGAGGCGTGCAGGAAGACCTTGGGGCAGCGCGTGCAGGCGTGCAGCGCGAGCGCGCGCGCGTGCGGCGCGGCGTGCGCGCGCGCGTGCGCCGCCAGCGCGCCGCGCTGCGTGAAGCTCTTGGGGCACTCGCTGCACTTGTGCGGCCGCTCCTCTGCACATTGTACACGTCAGGGATACAGAGATACTTGATCATGTATCTATCTACTGATTGTTTCACAGTCTAAAGCTAAAAGTGAAACTGAGAATTAAATAAATAAAAAAAAAACAGCAATATGGCATTGGCATGGATATTTCAGCACTGTAACGAGCGCCAAGGTTACGGGTATACTGGAGAACTATAAACATGGTAAATACCCCGTTTTACATCGTAAAAATATTGTAATTGACCATGTAAGCTTAAAAACTTATATTCCACGAAATACGCTATTATACGGGTGTTTTAGTCGATGATATCTAATAACTGTATCTATGGTCACGATTTCACGACACGACGAAAATTAAAAAGGTAGATATATATATCTCCGTGCCTCTATCATTTTACCCCAGCGTTTTCGAGAGTACATAAAGCCGTCGGTCGGTCCAGCGCCTGATTTCGCATCGGGTCGAAATATCGTCCCATCAGAATTCGACAGCCTCAGCGAGGGACGGGGGGAGAAGGGGGACGGCGCCTACCTCTGTGCACGAGCTCGTGGCGGCGCAGCACCTCGCGCTGCGCGAAGGCGCGGCCGCAGAGCGCGCAGGCGTGCGGGCGCTCGCCGGAGTGCACGCGCGCGTGGCGCCGCAGCGCGCCGCGCGACGCGAAGGCGCGGCCGCACTGCGCGCAGCGCGGCCGCCCGCTGCCGACACACGAGTGTTATTGGTTATCGTCTACGACGGCACTGCTCCGAGTGTGCTTACACGTTAGTGCAGGCGTGCGTGTGTGTGTATGTGTGTTACTTCACGCGAGTGACTAGACGGATTTGGATGTTTAATATATATGTAGATCGATTATAAGCCTAACTTTAGTGATAACATTTGTCAAAAATTGCCGCTGCCCATATATGTATAATATTATAAATACCAAGAGCCACACCCGTGCAAAATGAGAATTAATGGCTAGTTTGATAATAAAAGTTTTTTGTGTGTGGGTAAGAATGTGTGTTCATTAAGTTGGGAGTTGCAGGGAAATAATTAAATATATATCTGCAAAATATGTGCGTCGGCAGCGCCACTACATAAAAAAGTTTAAACTTAAAAGAACTCACTCTTCAACAACTTCAGAATGTATAAGTTCAGACTGCGCGTTTTCACCAGTCACATGTCGCACAATAACACTTCTCTTTGGCGGTGGATCCACAATTGGATGCTCCTGAAATATACAAATGACATATTTAAAATAAAACTACTATTTCGAAATTTTTCGCGGATTTATTTTGATTGTTGATTCTCGACGTTTCCAATGCATTACAGCAATCATGGTCACAAGACCCTCCTGATAAAGATTTCACCGAGATCTCTTCTTACTGGCCTTGTCATACATATTTTATAAGAATACTTATACAAAGTAAAACCTGAGTAAGAACTGGGTAAGTGAAGAAACTCTGTAAGTGAGAGTTATTGAGATATGAGAGTGGGAAATGCTAGTCATAATATATTTCACCATACATTACCTCTTCAATCTCCAGCATGTTAAAAGTGATGACTGTTTCATCTTCAGCTTCTATTTCCACTGTTCTCAGACTAGGATCTTGCAGGACAATGTCATCCCCAATTTTCTTTAATATTCGTAATTCTAATAATAATGTGGAAAGAAATTCTGATATGTCTGGTGGTGATGAACTCGAACTAGCTTCGGGACTATCAACCTATAATTTTAAATTTGGAGAATAAGGCACAGTCTGCACTATAGGGCTCTGAATTATCAATGTAGATAAATAAAATTGAAGTATCTGTTTGTAATATCAAAATAACAGCTGTTTACTAAATGCATATACAAACATATACAGTACTAATAAAAAAATCTATTTTTAAATTTTTAGTCTGTCTGTTTGTTCCAGCTAATCTCCGAAATGGCTAGACCAAATTTGACGGGACACTCGCCAGCATAGAATGAAGGACATATTATGCAAATATGTATAAGCAAAAAGAAAATGAGTGTTTCTAATCATTTTGATAGTCCTTGACTTTGATAATAGTAAAATACTTAACAAACTACTAATTAAGATATATACAAAAATAAAATAGATAATAAATACAAATACTTTTTTAAATCTCATGATATGAAATGTCAGTGAGTGAAATAGTTTTTATCTTGGAAATCATCCTTTAAGGGGGTAAGAATGGGATAGGGATGCACCTGAGCAAAGCGAGGGTGAGTCACTAGTTATATAATAAATTAAATTTATTGTTTTTTATACACATAATAAAATACATATTTCATATAGTTTGTATCAAATAAATTTACCTGCTTAGGTAAGCATTCTGTTATTTGGTTTTCTTGGATTATGTCTTCTCTAAGAGCCTCATTTGTTATATTATCCAAATCAATTTGTAGTGGTTGATTTGTAGTAACTGCTACCGTGACCTGTTCTTTATAGTTACCTAAATTATCTACGGAAACAAGCTGCTGATCGTTTTCCATCATTTTGACAGTTGCTGTTTTTTTTGTTTCCGTTTGTTTCACAGCCAGCATGTGGGACTTAAGTTTTTGGTAGGTGAGAGCACATTTCTTCTTAAATTCATAATAATTATTTAATTCCTCATAACATTGTGTACAAATAATGTTGGGAAGACACTCTTCACGGGTTATCTATTATTAAAAAAAAACTTTCATGTTATGTTGAGATTCTATTGTTTTGTAATTTTATGTAATAAGCAGTTATGAATTTTTATTTTAGTTAAATAAAAAAAATAAAAATGTATTTGGCAATGAGTTTGATTTGTTTTTATTGTAATCGCAGGAACTCACACAGAGTCGTACCTCTAAGCCGACACACATCATGATCCTCATAACAAGGGAAACACACACGTTATTGGTATCAGTGAATATAGGAATTGATTTATTTGCTTTCGCCATACACAGTCTACACAGTTCGTGAACACCCTCGATTAACTGATATTGCGATCGTCTTCTGGTATAAGTTCGCATTATTCCTTCAAAACTAAAATGGTGAAATAAAAACACTTGGTATAATATTAAAACCACAATCTACATTCTTTTAAAATTGATATTTTTATAATAATTATTAATTAGTAGTATTCATCGTATTAAATTCGAAAATATATTTAAAAAATTACCAAAAAAAAATAAAAAAAAATAGTTTCGTATATTCAATTATTGACACTGACAGTGACACTAACCACAGACCATTATTAGTCTGATATTTATCGATTAAAATATTTAAAAATATGAAACATAAAAAATACTTAGACTGAACATTATGAGAAATTCAAAGGATTGAGATTCTAAATTAACATATGTAATAAGTTTCATATTCATTATTTTCAAATAAATTCTCTATTATCTATGTACATACGAGTATAATGACATTCTAACTTAGCCGATATACAGATGCAGATATACAGATGTATATTAAATATTTTTTTGGAAAATATTATTGAAATAAACATTATTATCGATAGAGGCCGAATCTATAGTTTTTAGAATTTTTGTCTGTCTGTCTGTCTGTCAGTCTGTTACCGCACAGAGAAACCTGAGTGCGGCGAAGTCCAAGCACCCTCCGCGTTTAACTAATATGTATGGATATAACCTTCTAATGTACTTAATTCCTCCTTTACAACAAAACGTCAAAATGTGTTTTTTAGATTTGATAGACTAAAAATTATTCAGGAAAACAAATTGTTAAATAAAACTACAATAATTGTAGCAACAATTATTGTTCACTTAAAAACAGTAATTAAAAAAAGTAAAAAATTTAAAACACCTGATTGCGAAACAGGTGAACAAAAAAGATGAGGATGAGTTGAAATAATGAATGAACATAGTAGGTATTAAGCAGGCGAAGACAGGCAACATGTTTTATCCTTGCTGCTATTCTTATTAAGCACAGAAATCTTAATAATAAGGTAAAGTTAAAGGTAAGGTTACCTTATTATTAAGATTTCTGTGTTATTACGTATGTTAAGTATGTATGTATTATTATGTACCCAAAAGCCCTGGTGAAAAAAAACTGGCGCCAAAATAATTACCTTTATTATATATACATTGCTGCATATGCACGTTGGGGGGTATAGTGAATAACATCATACTGAGACCACCAAACAGTTACCATTACCTTTTTATTGGTAAGCTTTGCTTTAGGACACTGTTGCGGCGTTTGACCTGGGATCAGCCCTGACCAAGACCTTTCCGTCATCAACCAACACCGTCCGCGTGCCGTGCATGTAAAGTTAACAATAATTGTCAGCAAGAATATTTTGCCGGTACCGATACGCTCCGTGTCTGGCACGCGACGTCTCTGAAACGGTGCGCGCGGACGGCGAAACGGAGAGCACACGAGTTATAACTGAGCATGATGACTGTTCTAAGCCCGTTGTAAGCGTGTTGTTGCTTGTCTTCTAGTGATAATATTTTCTTTTAAATTATATTTTTTTTAAAACGGCGTGAACCTAGTAACGTCGTGACTCACTGATGTTATTCTCTTTCTTCCTCGTCTAAAACAATTTCAATTACATACATTGTGCCTATTAAAGTAACATATGTTATTATATCATGAATGCATAAGCTGCGGAAACAGGGAAGCATTCTGGATTAAGTAGTCGTATCGATGATTTTTTTTTTAATTAAGCTGCGTAGGTGTCCGATATTTATCGATTAAAATAATAAAAGAATATGAAGCAAATAAAAAATATTCAGACTGAACATTATGAAAAGTTAAGGGCTTGATTGTAAATTAACATTATAAGTTTCATATGCATTAGGTACTTTCAAACCAATTTCCTTTTATCCTTTAATATAACTATAAATAAACCACCTTTGCTAACTAATTTTATTGTTTGTTACTCTCTGTATTTTACATATAAGTGCAATAAAGAATAGTATATAAATATTAGAACTTATTGTGATGATGTATATGTGTTTTGATAAGTCTTTGACTAAAGAATTATATATTCCGCCAAAAAAATGCATAAAAATAAAAAAAAAATAGCTCGTTTTGCTGTATGCTACTATTCTCGATTTTGCCGTACCTACATATCGTTTACTTTCTTAAGCGAAAAAGTTTAGTAAGCGAAATTTCATATAAATATTAGTCGCTAATTTACAGTTTAGGAGACAAAATAATAATAATTTATGAATGACACAGTTTTATTTTTTTTATTTTTAATCATAGAAATAGTAATATATTCTTTAGCATTATATAAGAGTTAGTTCTCTTTCCCTTGAAAGAGAGATAGCAATATTAGCTTATTAAGTTATTTATTTTTTTATTATAAGAAAATCAGTTAGCTATTTTTGTTTATTAGCATTTATTATTTATTACGCATTGTATAGTTTTAAAATAATATGTGTTATTTTAAAATTAAAACATTATCTATTGTTTGGCTTCATGTTTAGTTCTATGACAGTCTGTCTTATATTAAATTCCTTAGTATGGGATTTAAGTTAATTCTTCTTTTTATTTATCAAAATAAAAATTTAATTTCCAAAACGAGTTCTTAGTTCGGTCCTGCTCATTCTTTATCGTGGGTATATTAAAATATGTACAGTCGCGTGTTCACCAATCATAGCTTAGAATTTGTAATGACAATTGACATCTAGTGTTTAATCGTAATAAAAATGGCAAATACGGATATAAACAATACAACAAATAAAACAACTGAATTTTTATCTAAAATAAGTCACATGTGGAGTCTCTTCGGTGTACAAAATTTATGGTTGGAAAATGTTTATGATACTATTATTTTTAAGCATATGCATAGATTTGGCACGTTTTGCATGTTTATATTGATTACAATGGAAATATCCGCAATATTTACTCAAACAAAACTGAGTGAAAAACAAAGCTCTGACCTTATAATCTTTATATTGTCTCACGGCATCCTCATCAGCAGTTCCATAGCGCCCGAGTACTACAAAGAGGAAATAAGACACTTACTAATAACTCTATGTATTACACTGAAAAAGGTTTATAATGATCAAGAGATCGAACAAAGAATGATCAAAAGGGCAGCTTTTTATTGTTTGGGATATTTAACAACTTGTTGTGTAGCTTTATTGTCTTACGGTTTTGACGCCTTTATGCAATTCGCACAATCAGGTTTGCATTTTACTTACTAGATAATATAATAGCACTATAATGCCCGATTTCACCAATAACCCATAAGCTACCTACGTATGGGATCCCTAGCTTAAAATTCCCCTAAACTAGCCGCTAAATTAAATTCCGTTTTACCATCGTCTTAAGCCTATATTTCGAGCACCTAAATTTACGGGTCCTTATAACATTTAGGTGACCCCTAACTGTCGGTGAAACAGAAACTGTCCCCTAACAGCCCCCTAGCCATGCTTAGGGGATCCCTTAAACTTAGGTGACGTTGGTGAAATCGGGCATAAGACTATTCAACTATAAATTACCATGGGACATAGTCTCGTATTCATTCTCACTACACCACGTGCGTACAATGAATAAGTGTACGGTGAGAACGTTGCGTGGTAAAATGACGTCACGCGAGAATGGAAACTAAAATCACGGTAATGTAATATGTAATATTACCGTGCTAAAACTGTTGTAACTTCAATATTACTTGCTTGATTTAAATGAAACAAAACAGGTGTGTTTAGAAAACATTTAGGCTACACTACCATAAAGTTTCAAGTTATTTTGCAGACCCAGTGATATGCTTCATTAAGATTTAATTAACGTGCTCGATTCTTTAGTTAGGTGTGTGTTTTGTTAGTTTTTATATTTATAATAAGGTAGGTAAATACTAAGTAAGTCTAATCAGGTTTGTAATATATATTGGGATTGGGACATGAATATCAATTTTGCAGAAGTTTTTCTCGTCAACATAAGGAAGATGATGCAACCTCTAATCCCAATCTGCTTGTAAAAAATCAATAACTAATCCAGGCACTGGTATATCATCATATTTATTACATTTACGAAACGTTTCTTTGGTCCAACATCTACTAATGCTGATGCCAAATTTAGTTTAATTGTCATAACAATAAAAGTAATTATTGTTATGAAAATTAAACTAAAATAAGCACTCGGACGAAGTCAGGTCGGGTCGTAATTTAATTATTACTATTTTTTGTAATATTTTGTCTTATGTAGAATATTACCCACAAATTTATTCTTACGAATTATTTGATGAAATCACGGATGTAACATAATAAAAACATATTATTTTAACAGGTGGGACGTTCACTACCGTTGTAATAGCTTGGCCAGACATTGAAGACACGAGTATGCACTCAAATCTTATCCGGTTTATCTTTTATTTATTTTGGTCAGAGGCGGATCTTGAATTTGTGGGGCCCTGGGCTAATACTGCTTAGGGGCCCTACCTAATTACTCAACTAATTGCCATTTTGACAAGAAACTGTTTTCTGTAGTGATGTAGGTATATGTAATGTAATATATGTTAAGTACAGGAAGAAAATAGGAAAACAAAATATTTTATTTATTTATTAAAACATTATTTATTGCAAAATAAATTGACGGGTTATAAATGGTTATGTTAAATAAATTATAAAGCAACCTTTCTGCATTTTTGTGCTGCAAATTCTTTTATTTGGTCATCGCACTGTAGGTCCTTTGTTAAATCGCAATTTATCGAAAGAACTGATAAATGATTTAGTCGATAGTTCGACATTGTTGTCCTGTATTTGTTTTCTATATACGACATCCTGGAGAAAGAACGCTCCGCTTCACAGCTAGTGATCGGCATCGTTAAAAAAATCTTTAAGATAGTATAGCAGTTTGGGAAAACATCAACAAGTTTCTTTTCATAAATTAGCCAAAAAATTTCACTGCAAGAGGTGTAAGACTCTGTCTTAGATTGCAGTAAGTAAGATTTCAACTGAATGCACTCATTCACTAAATGTTCGTCTACGTCATTTGGATAATAATCAATAATATTACGTACACTTTCCAGATCTATGTGTTCTTGATTTTTGTCTTGCAAATCCATTAAAAATTTAATTTTTTGCTATAGGTCTCATAGGCTTGGCTTCTATTATTTAAATCCATAATCATCTTATCCAACGCAACTTTAAGCGTGTCTCTTTTAAATTTTTCTGCGCAGTTCACTGAGACTTTATCTGTAGATTTATCTGAAAATTTCAAAGTAATGCGTCTCTTATTTATGTCACTGTAGTCTGTTCCCACACTAGTACTTAATTTTTTAGCTTTCTCTTCGTATTCCTTTAGCTTCTGATCTGATTGTTGCCTTATGTTTTTCACGAACTCTTTTAATGACACAATTAACTTATTGCCTTCACCAATGTCTAAACCAGGGCTCTGTACTTTTTTATTAACTACATTAAATCTCTCCAAAATTTCTTCCCAAAAAACAATCAAAATTGCAGTTTCTAGTTTCGCCAGTTTATTAAATAAATTTCGTGCCTCTTTTCGGAAATCAACTTTTTCATCGTCATTTTCGCCGAAACTATTGAGAATTTTCATAATGCCATCATAATTACTTTTCAAAGCTCTGACAGCATCAAAGTGACAAGACCATCTGGTCTGGCTTAAACTTTTTAACGTAAATTTTAGTTTTGTTTCACGATTTAACAGTTCCCACCTATGGGTCGAAGCAGAGAAGAAAACGTATATTTGTTGCACTATTCCAAAAAAATTTACAATTTCGGTTGCAACCTTCACGGATTCTTGACCAACTAGGTTAAGGGAATGCGCAGCACATGGCACGTAATCCGCGGATTTATTTTTTTCTTTTAGTAGTGCTTGTACACCATTGTAGACTCCGGCCATATTAGCAGCGTTGTCATATGACTGTCCCCTGCAATTATCCAGTAGTAGTCCATTTGTTTCCAAAAAGGCTTGTAGAATATTAAATAAATATAAACCAGTATGACTACTAATTTTAATGAAAGATACACATCTTTCATACACTTTTCCCCGAAAACAGTATCGTAATACAATAGCAAGTTGGTCATCGTGAGACAGATCTGGGGTTGAATCCATCATAATTGAATAATACTTTGTGTCGTCGTTATTTATTTCAGTTATAATTTGTTTAATTATCTGTTTACCCATAATCTCAATTATTTCCTCATATACTGTTTTTGATAAATATGATATTACAGGGTTTGGTCGCAGCTCTCGTTGTTCAATATGTTCACGTATGAATGGGTCGAATTCTGCCAATAGCTCTAGAGCACCCATAAAATTACCATTATGTGGAGAACCAAATACTTCCTCGGAACCTCTAAGTGCTAAGCCTCTTATACTCAGAAATTTTAGCACTGCAATAACCCGTTTTAGGACATTGTGATAATATTCTGTTTCTTTATTTAATTGCTCCTGAAGCTGCTTGTCTAAAACAGACTTATTTTCTTTTCGTGTCAACCACACTAACATTGAATTCTTATGTTCATTAGAATTTTCGTGATTTTCTAAACAAAATCCTATGTGTTTCCAATCAGAAAATCCGGTTGTGTATTGAGAAGGAGTTTTAGAAAAAAAGTTTGCAAGTCAAACAAAAAACAGTACCAACTCTTTTTGAATAACATAACCAAGATCTTTCCAGTAATTGGCCATTTTTCATTTTTCTAGTGAAATACCTATTTGAAAAAGATCTATTTTGTTCTTTATATTTCTTCATTGAAGCTGAATATATATTCTTCGGATCTTTATTTTGAAAGTCAGTCATTTCATGTGAGAGGACGAAATTAATAAAATCATTATTCAGCAAATCTGGCCACAAGCCCACGTCAACATATTTCTCAAACTCAAACTATTAAGTTTAAAATATTAATTTTCTAAATTTCTTTCCACCTCGGTATCGGTATTACCTCCCTTTTGCTGAACACCAATTTCATTTTCAGAGGAACCAGAGGGTTGCTGGAAGTCAAGATATTGCACATTTTCATCGTTGGTATTTTTTTTCTGGTTTTAAAAATCTTGCATATTTTCATCACTTGTATTTTTTTCCTCGTTTTGCGATTTTTTGCTGCCATCGGTTAGATTCTCTTCGCATAAAATACCTTCCTTTACGTTTTTTAATGGATTTATAGCTATTTCATTCGCGTTTATATGTTCCGATTTAAAAAAAGTTTCAATTTTTGCGCATTTATTTCTTTCTTGTTCTCGACTAAACTGTAATTTTCTTTTTTCAGCTCCACTTTTATATTTTCTAGCAGACATATTGTAAAATAAGATATTTTTCTGAAAATAAACAAAGAACTGGATAGAACTTTTAATTTTAATACCTACTTTGTAATGAGTGTAGCAATTCACAAATTATAATTAAATATCGAACGAGTTTGATTCATTTAGTTTTGAAAACTGAAATAAAAAGTCATGTTTTATAATTCTTTTTACTTACCTACTGCCTATTAAAAGCAGGAAGTCTAGTTATGCTGAAGACTTTCAATTTTAGTAAATTAAAAGAAAGGTCCGGTCCTTATAACTTTTAAGTTATCTATTACTTAGTAAACTAAACACATGCACTAAACACATTTCTAACAATAACAAAGTCAATTCGTTAATATAGTCGACTATAGCAGAAGTGCGGAAAAATAACAAAATTGCGTCGGGCGATAAGCGGAGGGAAGTCCCCAGTAATAGACACTACTATACACGGAATACACCGACTGAAAACAAGCGACAGGGAATTCCCCGTTCCATTTGATAGATGCGCACTCGGGTTGATTGATCGCAGTGTTGCCAACCTCATGATCGGATTTTTTAAAATTCTAGATAATTTTTATTATTGACAATATCGTCTATTGGTTTCAGTTCGGTTGGGGGCCCTCTGTATTCGCGGGGCCCTGGGCTGCAGCCCAAAAAGCCTTTAAGTAGATCCGCCCCTGATTTTGGTGGATTTTTATAGCTAGAATGTCAATTAGCTATACGTTAGCCATATTCACGACGATAGCCATTAGCCATCAGTTCAAACACATACAAAGTTATTTCTACAAACTTAATGATATATTTGATATCGAAAATGAAGAAACGCATCGTCAAAAAGAAATTAAATATGAACAATCATTAAAAGTTGGGATAAATTTGCATTCTCAGACAATACGGTAAGTATTTACACAATCAGAAAGTACTTAAGTATACTTGATTTTTTTATGTTAAAATATATTACCTACTTACATTTATCTTATTATATATTCTACGTATTTAGTTAGAATTAGTTGAAGACGCAATTTAACATTTCATAAATAGGAAATTTAATTAACTCATCACATCATTTCAGTCAAAAGATGTTTACATACATAGAGTTCCCTCAAAAATCTCTACGACAGCCGTTCTTGTGAAGTCGTATTCAGTGGATTTCTGTAACTTAAACCAAGTCGTTGGTTCTTATGGGAGATGTGCCTTTCCTTTGCCTTCTGATATGCGGCAACCAGTCGAGATATATTTGTTCCCAAGGATCATCTGTTCTACAAAGTGTCTGTCCCGCTCACTGCCACTTGTACGCACGGGCTATGTCGGTGACATTCTTCTGCAGATCATTTCTGATTTGATCTCACAGGAAAATTCTAAGTAGAGCCCATTTTGGGTGACTCTCATGAGGCTCCTCGCGATGTTATCCGTATGTTATCGAAAATTTTAGTTTTTAGACACTACACTCTACAGTATTTGGGATGAAAATATAATGTGTAGCTTCCCGAACCTTTATTCTTAGATGAATTTGTTTCATCAAAATCATCGAGTAATGTACTCAGATCCTTCATGTTCTAAGCAATGGCCACTATGCCACTATTATAATAATAATTTTCGGCGTTGCGACGGTGAGTAATGCACTCACTGTTTATGAATATTTCATTTCATTCAGGGAACTCAAAAAATTCTTCTAATAAATGACATCACCTCGTCGTATTCCTCGTTGCATTTAAAACAGTTACGGTACTTAAGTTGGACTAACGTGGCATTTTCATACAAACACTTGAGCACTTCCATGTATAGATAGTGTCATCCACGAAGACGCGCCACACTCGTTTTCCTGATCGTTTACAGTACAATTGTGCAACATTCCGCTAGTGTTTTAATTTTGTCGATACAAACTCTTTACCTATGAGTGCGCACGCAAACTACAATGAATAGACTAACTGAAACTCCCTGCACCCCGCGATTCCATCTGTAAAAAAAAGGGGCGCATCTTCGTGGATGGCACTATCTGTACTGGTTATCAACTTAACACAGATGAAGAGAATGTAGTATAGCCAAGATTTTGATCGAATCAAAGACGTTATAATCCACAAACGCTGAATATTGAGGAAAGTCTTTTTAAATCAAATGAAAATATACTTTATTCAAATAGAATTTTACAAGCACTTTTGAATCGTCAAATTTACATTTTAAATTTAAATTAAGTAAATGTCTTTATGTAAGTCCGTGAGGAATCTACCACCGGCCTGGAAGGCAGTTCTTCTGAGAAGAGCCGGTAAGAAACTCAACGGTTACTCTTAAAATAATATTTTACGATATTGCAATACAATAATTAATTATAATCTTATCCTACGAGAGTTCCAACTAATAGTAAAAAATCCCACACATTTGTAAATTATTCCCCGACGGAATAATATGTTTTGTTCAATAATATATTTACTAATAATATGATTGAATAATACTAAATTGTAAGATGGATAGAAAATTCTTCATCGAAATTGCTTTATCCTGGATACATTATTAGGAGATAAGATTATACGGGTTTGTAAGGTTAATTCAGGTTTACCTATATGTATATATGTAGGTATACTCTGTTTAAGGTGTACGGAACAGTGCCAGCAAACTTGCAGCACTATAATAAGTGCGGAAATATTGCTTAACATTTGTGTGTTTGCATTTTTAATGTTACAAATGGTGGTAAGTAAAAATTTTACTACCTTATAATTCTGCGCTCAACCAAGTATGACTAAATATACACTGAGCACAATAGTACCTACTAAAAGTTTTTCCAGATAAAGCGTTAGGCAAAAATAATATGTGATAACTTCATTGACTGAATTAATATTTTTCGTCTGGCTTGGTCTTGTTGTTTATCGTCGATTGGGAAGATAAAGAAAAAAAATATCTTGGATAACTCAATCTCTTCTTCTCTCGACAAAATTCCAAAAGCATGTGGCGTGAGATTGACAAAAAATGATTATTATTATGCAGTCGCCTTTATACAATACATTTAACATTGTAGTAATAGTAGTCTCTATAATATTCTAGCTTATAATATTTATTCATGGAAAGTGTTCTATCTCTTTCCAATTGACTACAATTTCCTATTAACTTTCATTATCTTGGATTGAAATATATTGGTGTAAAAAATTTTTTGCGTGCTATCTATACATAGTATAAAACAAAATCACTCCCGCTGTTTATACGCTTAGATCTTTTAAACTACGCAACGGATTTTAATGCAGATTTCAGCAATAGATAGAATGATTTAAGAGGAAGGTTTATATGTTTAATACATGCATATTATATTCATACTAATCATTAAAATGTACCTTTTGTTGTTTAGTTTTGATATAAAAAGTTTCCATACACATTGAACTAAAAATCGCCAAGTTATCATCTTTGCACGCTGTGAAATTACATAATTTTAGATAACCTACAGCGCTACACTACACACATAACATTAAATTGAAAGTATTATTTTCTTAGCATTAAAAGCATCTAATGTTTTATTTCAGAAATCAGGGCGAACGCCGTTGAATATGTTAGCAACTGTCAGTACTGCTACTTGTATTCTTTCTACCACAGGTTTTCTAATGTGGAACGCTGGAGATATTACCATTGAGGTAGGCTTAATTTTATAAGATGAGTATATTATGGAACCACCGATATATTTGTGTTAATGTATTTAAGTAATATATAGATATAAAGTTAAGAATTTTTAAACCGACAGGCTGCCTTCGTGCCAACTGCAATGTTTTCGTCTGGCTGGCAGCATTGCAGGGGTGATACATCGAAAAGAGTCAGAACATTACTTACATTAGCAATGTCCGAGGGACAGGTAAATTTTGACGAATAAGTAAAATCTGCATATTTTTCTACAAAAATTATTAAATTAGGTACATTAAACTTAAAATAAGAGTAAAGCATAGTGCGGGCGTAGCTCTTACTTTTTTTTCGGCCCAGATTTTTACAATGGTATAATAAAAAAATAAAAAGCTAGTAAAATACTCAATATTCTTTGCTTTTTACGCAGTCGGGTTTTTAAAGTTGTACTTCTTTTGGCATATTTGGAAAAAAATATGACAGTAAAATTTTTACAAGACAGCCAAAAAACGACATGATGAAGTTAGCTTACATGTTTTATTTATTTTACAAACAGAAAGTTGTGATATACGAGATGAAATCTTTAGCTATTTTTGTTCTGTTATGCCAAAGAAGCATAATTTCTTACGTGCGTAGATACATAAGTACACACATAGGTTTTTTTTATTTATTTTTGTAAATATTTTTTTTTATTGGTACCTATTGGTACATATTGGTACATTATATAAATATATTGAGTGGTGGTACTGAAACCTGCACGAGTCCAACACGTGTTTTTTTACAGAACCATGTTGCGATGCGAAGCTTCTACATAGTAGATATTTCATATAATTCGTTTTTAACGGTAAGTGCTCACGTTACATGTTATATTTAAAAATGATATTATTATATTTTTTCATATTTTATAAAAACTCATGAAAAAGTGTTATTTTCAGATTGTAAAGTCAACTTATTCAGCTTTCTCTTTACTATATTAAACAATTAAGTACTTTAGAAGAGCATTTGCAGTTAGGTAATATTTACCTACCAAACAAACAACCAATTGTCATCAATATTTTATAATGTAAGTATGTATTACAAATCTGTAATCCGTACCTAAATACTTTATTTATATACTGAAAGGGTACTTTAAATATGTACAATACATTTTTTCTTTGTTTCAGATGCAAAGTGAACACGCATAAACTAGCGTTAGGCCGCGCCTTTGCGCTCTATAGCTTCACGTGCTTTACTTTCATAAATACATGCAGTTTATCTATTAATCTATTTGAGATATAACTTAATAACCTACTTATACTTACTAATTAATTTACGTATAAACAAAAACTACTGGACCTAAAAGATTAAAATTTTGGTTGTCTCTTCCTTTAAGGTCGCGTTGACACGCTCAATGTCTGCTTTGACAAATAACTTTGACAAAAAACTTGAAAACGAAATTCGCTGTGATAACGGTTAACACCTACATAGTGCACACTGCTCCATTCGTCCACTTTGATTGAGCGCCGACGTCAAATCAAAGTGCGCTTTGATTGCTCGTTTACACGATTAAAGTACTCATCAAAACTACTTAGTCAAATCAGGCTTTGAAAAAATAGAACACGGTCCAAATTTACTTTGATTAACATCCACATTGGGGCGTTTTCCAATTACAGTACAAAAGCACATTATGCGATATAATGCTCCGAATTTTCGAATTTTTCAACTACAGCAACGCTTCGCACAATCAAGAACTTTGAAAAGTACTGGTTTGGCGTGACCAACCAACTCAGTAGCACAAAATATAAGAAGTGTATTTTTGCGATGATCGTATTTGTGCGCCAAAGTGAGGCATTATGCTTCGTAATTGGAAAACAGGAAAAGTGCGCGCTCGTTTACATGATCGTGTCAACGTGGCCGGGTGAATTAATTATTTTTTTAAGAAATCTATTGTTAACTGTAACGCCGGCGTGTCCGGGGTCGTTTAGGGATTAAAATCCTTTTTGGGATCAATTTTGTCCAACTAATCTAAATCTCGAGAAGATTTCGTGAAAGGAGGGTGGTACACGTATGATCTATGTATTTACATTCAGTATAAGGTTAAGTAATTTATTATGATATCGCCTTTGTACCTGGTCTTTGGTTCTATTGTGTTCGCATCATACCTGTGCAACATATTGTACATGAAACTTAGACCAGCTGAAGGAAGAATTGAAAAGGAGAGGTGCAACTTGCGGTGGTCCTGACTCACTGTTGGATCAACCAGCCTAAACAGCTGCAGTCGTAGTCTGTTGTAACGTGAACTTTGGAGGACATATTTCTTATATGATGTTCATCCCCTAATTGGGCAAAGATTGTTTATAAAAAATAAGAAATATATGTATTTAATTTTTTTCCAAATTCATCCCTTAAGGTTTATACAAAATTATTATATATTCACAATTACTTGAAATTTGGTATTAACGCTCTTTAATACAATTAAATAAATACGTGTTTTAGCATTTTTCGAGATTCAATCAAATCAAAATTCTTCCCCATTGCGTTATAAATTGAACATTAATACAAAATGAAAATTGGTCACAGATGTAATAACCATTCTCCACGAAAATTGCTATTTTCAACCGACTTCAAAAAGGAGGAGGTTCTCAATTCGACTGTATTTTTTTTGTGTTTGTTACCTCAGAACTCCGTCATTTATTAACCGATTCGGACAATTTTTATTTTGTTTGAAAGGGTGTACTTCCAGATTGGTCCCATTTAAATTCAAGTGTGCTTTGGCTAAGTAATAAAAGCCTACCTATTAAATACATACCTAATCAAATATTTTCGAAATCGGTGCCAGCCCATGCAAAGCAAAGCACACCGACTTTGAAAATATTTGATTAGGTATGTATAGTAAATGAAAACTACCAATCAGTTATTTTTTACTTTTTAGTGCTTTTGTTTGAAGTCGGTTTTTATTTTTTTGTTAAAAAGTTTTTTGGCAACCCTAACATTCGACAGGTTTCCGTTAATATTTTTATTTATCATCCATGCTGAAAATGCTTGAAAATTTAAAAAAATGACATGCTTGATGCTGTTAGTTTAACAAAGACTTCAAAATTCAAATGTGAAATGGTGTATATGAATGTTAAAAATAATAATAATGGTGATAAAGAAATATGTTGTTGTCTCACTCGTTGTCGCCAAATGTAGAGATAGCATGTTAATAATCAAATAAATAAAAAGGATAGATAGATCGACCAAAAGCTTGTATGGAACTAATTCATCTTTTTTATCTGTCATTTATGGTTAATATAGTATATTTAAATATTATAATTATATTATACAGAATGTCCCAGAAAGTCCTTTTTGTTTCATTTATTAAACTAAAAGAAATAAAATAAAACTTTAAAAAACCCAAATGCTTAAATCTTAGCTTTCCTGCAGTCATTTTTGGTTAAGTAGTTAACAAACAGATTAACCTTAGGAATGATAAAACAGCAAAAAAATATGTTTGTAATCAGGTGGCTAATTTTAAGTATTTTTCACCTCGCCATCTTTGAAGGCCGATTTTAGCCAAAGTAGCACTAATAAAATAGTACAACAACAACCCATAAGCTACCACCTACGTATGGGGTCCCTAGCTTAAAAGTCCCCTAAACTAGTCCCTAAATCTAAATTAAATTTCGTTTTACGACCGTCTTTAAACCCATATTTCGAGCACCTAAATTTAGGGGGCCTTTTTATATTTAGGTGACCCCTAACAGTCGGTGAAACAGAAACTGTCCCCTAATAGCCCCCTAACCATGCTTAGGGGATCCCTTAAACTTAGGTGACGTTGGTGAAATCGGGCATAAGTCACCTGTTTAAATTTTTAATTTAAAGTTGAAAATTTTAGTCATAATTCACCGAACTTAAAGAAAAAGTCTTGAAGTCTAGAAACGTCTTCTACTTTTTTTTTAGAACTTTTTTTAAGTTTTTTTTGTTGTTGTTTTTTTTTAACTTTAAAAAAAGTCGTGACTCAAAAACTAAACAATCGCGTAAGATATATAGGGGTGGTTAGGGTACCCCAAGGGGTGCTCTATCTCTAGACTTCCGCTTGACACTACTTTCTGGGACACATAAATAGGATTTACTTACAGGAGGACATTTGCACTTATACAGGATATGTGCATGTGGATTATGACGTCGCCACTCGCCTACTATATGAACTTTTATACTGTGATAATACCATGTTCCTTACTTAAATCTATGTTTTCATTTTCTATCAGCTAGAATCTATCTTAAATCTTTACAACTTCGACATTTAAAAGTGCAACTGTTTAGTTTCTCTTGGGCTCTTTTCAGCAGAACTGCTTTCCGAGCCGTCAGTGACTACATCATGGACTAATTACACTGACGCTTTACCCTCTTTAAATTAAACTAACGACTCATCCTCGCTTCGCTCGAGTTCGCCTTAGTTTGCTTCCCAGTACAAACTTTCATCCCTATTTTCACCCCCATAAGGGATGATTTCCGGGATGAAAAATATCCTAGGTATCCTCAAAGTGAAATATAAAGTTTCATCTCGTTTCGTTTCATTTCATCATCTTAGTGTACTTTTTACACTATCAGATTATTTTATTCAAATGAAACAAATTGTATCATAGCTGCTTTTTTAATAAAAATATTACATACATATGCTTAAAATAACATGAACTTAATTTCTTGTTGCCAAGTTATCTAACATTAGTCTCTTGTAAACACTGTGTGTAACACATAATATCATAATAAATGATCACATTTTTCTTAAAAAAATATATATAGTCTCCATAAAAAGGCAATTAACATACAATTTATATAACATGTAAAAAGTAAGTGAGGTTCAGAGCTTGGAGTCGAAGAATTTAAGTTCTTTATCATCAGGCAGTTTCTTAAAAAAGTCCTCCACATAATCGTCATCAACTTCTGCTAAAGTTTTATGTTTCCATTGTGGATTGTTGTCTTTATCGATAAGTAGGGCTCGGACTCCTGGAAAAGATTTTTTGTAAATTAATAAATAAATAATATAAAACATTTAACAGCCAAATATATCCTATTTATCAAATAAAGAAACAGAAGTTAATAAAATAATGTGTATTAAAATATTACTCTTCAATTTCAAAGAGAATATAATTGAAATAGTTATGATTAATATCTACATTTATATATGATATTCAAACCTTCAGGGAAATCATGATTCAGTGTGCAGTGACATGCTACCCGGTACTCCATCTTCAGACACTGTGGCAGCTCTAACTGAGCACCTCTTTGCAGTGTTCTCATGGTAATCTTGAGGGAGCCAGGGCACATTTGACTCAGAGACTGGAATATTTATTGATAATATTTATCCATTGATAAATTAAATATTATAAATAATTATTATAAGCAAAATTATCATAATATAAAATTATAAAAAAAAATATATATATAGCATAGCCTACCTTTAATGTCTTAATCGACCAGTCATTCTGAACTTTCTCAAGTCTCTCAATAATTTCCTCTACAGTGGAAGCGGCAAAACAATAATTTATATGTTTAATATTTGGTGCTAGTGAAAACTCCTCGGGGGGCTCATTGAACTTGTTAAGTAAAGCTTGTACTTCTCCCTCACTTGTGCATCTGGATAATAGCATCTCTAACTCATACAGACGCTGGCTAGACACAAAATGAGTGGCTATGCCCGATTTGACTACATCTTTGCCTTTTAGTCTATCACCTGATTTAAAAAAGTATATGTTATGGTTATAAAGATGAAAAAATAATTTATACCATTGTATTTTAAGTGTTATGCATAAGAACTTATAATATCAAACTAACCTGTCAATCCTAAATAGAGTCCTAAGTTAACTGGCAGTCTTGGTAAGAAATAAGAGCCACCCACATCCGGAAATAACCCTATTTTAGTCTCAGGCATGGCAATCATTGTTTTCTCAGTGGCTACTCTGTATCTCCCATGAACTGATACACCAAGCCCGCCACCCATAGCGATTCCATTCATTAATGCTACATATGGTATTTTATATTTTCCAATTAGATAATTCACATTATATTCATTGAAGAAAAACCTTGGGCCTTCTACTTTATCTATTGCCATTTTGACATCACCTCCTGCACAGAATGCTTTGTCACCAGCACCTTTAATAATAACTAAATTTTTGCTCTTCTCCCATTCACATAACTGTGGCAATAGTTTGGACACGATGGACGTGTTCAAGGTGTTTAAAGCTTTAGGCCTATTTAAAGTAATAATGCCAGCATTGTTTATTGTTTCAAATAACACATCTGATTCCTGTGTAGACATTGTTCTTTTTATTAAAAAAGATATTTTTTGGGGTACTATCCTTAATTTGAGCATCTGTAAACAAATATTTTGAATTTTTGTATAGAAAATCTTAAAATATTAAATATAGAATGAAATATTTAGTTAATTAAAACCAATTTAGTCAATTAAAATAAAAACATTACTCACATCACTTCTAAACTTTTGTTTGATTGAGCATTGGTAATTATATAAGAAACACTTACTTTTACTGTTTGAACTTGGACCCTGATCAATTAAAAACAGCCTTATCGTTTCCGTACTAAGTTAAAATTCATGAAATTAAAATGTAAAACTTTTGTAACAAGTTATTAACATATTTTTAAAAACGCATGTATTATAGATTGTACAGATATTTATAGACAACCCACAAGCTGTACATAATTTATGACTATGATTGAATATATTTTTGTTAAAGCAATCGTAAGTTTTATTCATTAAAGTTCATTGTACATAATTTAAAGTGCGTGCTATTTGATTGTTATCTTATCTATTGTCAAATGTTTACGAATTGCGATTTGCGAAAAAAATTAGCACAGAAATACTGTCATTACATTTGGTTTCTGAACTTGAATTAATTTATTTAACAAAAGTATTTGTTAATTTTTATGTTATAAAAATATTATTTAAATAAGAAATTCTTTGAAATTTGAAGTAATAAGTTAATATTTTTTGTGCAGGTATTTTTAATGAATATTGACATTTGAAATATTAAAGCTAAAAAAATACTGATAAGTGGCAACACTACATTAATCTTATAAAATACTAATATTGCCCGCGGCTCCGCCTGCGTTCAGATGACCAAAAACCAAATTCTTATATTAGTATACTCTTACAATGCAGTTTTTGTATTTTTTCTGAGAAATGAGATATTTTCCTGCGGTAAAAAGTATCCTATACCCGGATAACCAGCTATCATCATACTAAATTTCATCAAAATTTGTCCAGTGGTTTTCTCGTGATGCGGTAACAGACAGACAGACAGACAGACAAAAATTCTAAAAACTATAGATTCGGGCTCTGTATCGATAATAATGTCTATTTCAATTAGATTTTCCAAAAAATATTTAATGTACAGATTCGACTTAGTTACAATTTTATTATATGTATAGATTAACCTTATTTCTTTATTAAATATATGAAGGTATAGTGTACACTGACTGGTACATACTTCATATTATAAATTATAATATTATTTACTGATTAAAACATTTAACCAGAGACTTGATGTGTTACATTTGTGTTTTATCTTACGTTATTATATATATTTTCACGGAACCATATACGTTTGTAATAGAAAATTTATAAAAACTTTTATAAATATAATGAAATTCTAACTGATTGTGAGTCGAATCTGTACATTAAATATTTTTTTGAAAACATTATTGAAATTTTTATTATTATCTATTATAAATATTTTTTATTTCAATCAATCAAAATGTGCACCCGTGTGCTATTGATGCATCTCTTCCAGTGCAGTGGTAATTTTTCAATACCTTTCTTGAAGAAACTTAGATGTACGGGAGCCAACAAAGTTTCAAAGGCATTTTGTACTGCCTCTCGGATATTGAATTTTTTCCCTGCCAAGATGTTGTCCAAATTTTAGTAAGAAATGTAGAAGAAGTCTTTCGGCGCAGGATGATGTATAACTTCCAATCCTAGGTCTTGTAGCTTAGAGACCGTCTGTTGTGCCGTATGAGGTCGAGCGATGTCGTATAGGAGCAGCGGGGATGAGCGATTGACCAAGGCTGGCCGGAGATTTGCGAGCTTCTCCATCATTGTGTCCAGTTCCTCACAGTACACATCCGCAGTAATGCTGGTGCCATTTGGTAAGAAGCTGTGATGAATTATACTGGCACTAGACCACCAAACAGTGAACATGACTTTTTTAGGGGTAAGTTTTCGTTTGGCGCATTGTTGAGCTTAACCAGGACTGTATACACAGTATATACATACTGCGCGTGTTATTGATCTCCATAAGTCACTCTTGTTAACTAAGAGCAATAAAACATCAATAGTGCAAGAGACAATCCCCGAACTCATAGAACGTTACAATACTCATAGGTATGATGAGTTGCTGTGGAATGTATTATAACGCGTTTTCGCGTGAGATCATCTCCCGTGGTAAAAAGTATCCTATGTCACTCTCCAGTCCTCTAACTACCTCTACACAAACAAACAAACACACTATCATATTTATAAATATAATTTAAAAAAGTATGGACCAACAAGTTTCGCTTCGCTCGGATACGTCTCCAGGTGCAAATTTTATTACTAACGGTAGCCTATATGTGCATTTTAATGACAATGGAGAAGTCTGTTTGTGTACTTTTAAAATTATTGCAATTTTAGAAGGGATTTTTTTGTCCCATATCAAAGAATTTAAGTTCTTTATCGTCTGGAAGCTTCTCGAAGAAGCTCTCTACATATTTGTCGTCGACTTCTGCTAATGTCCTTGGCTTCCATTGCGGTTTGTTATCTTTGTCTATTAGAAGGGCTCGTACACCTGTGGATACAAACAATATAATAACATTATATACAATACAATTTATATAATAATTATAATAATAAATTAATAATACAAAGTATAATAATAATATTGTACTGTGAAGCTTATGTTCGGCGTGGAATAAATAAAATTAACTTTTTCTCATACATCAGAAACAGGAGATTCTTAAGGGATAAATTAAATATGCTACAAAGCTCATTTAAAAATTAATGCAATATTTTAACACAATTGCCTAGCTATATTTATGAATAACTTCGATAAAACTTTAGTTAAGTTTATTTGAACTCTCTACATCCATTATCACATTTTTTTTCTCAGTACTTACATAGTTATTTGGTGTAAACGAAAGTGTAACATGTTTCAGGCACCTCATTCTAACTTCTACTTTGTCGTATGAACATTCAACAAAAACCATTAAAAATAAAAAGTTTCTATTATGAAAAAAAAAAAATGGACAAGTGCGACTCTAACGCACCTAGGATTTCGTGTTGCTAGCCATTTTTATATTGTGTTTCATCTTACGTATTTTTTAAAGCCGGAAATGTAATCAATGTTGTGTATGCCTATAATTAATGCTTGTACTAGAATAAGTAATCTTAAAATATAACAATTTAGAATGTTGGTACAATGTATTGTTGGCATATCTTGCAAATAAATAAAATAAAAAAAATTTAACCGACTTCCAAAAAGGAGGAGCTTCTCAATTCGTCGGAATCTTTTTTTTTATGTATGTTCACGGATTACTCGAAGGCGCCTTAACCGTTTGGAAATTATTATTTTTTGTTTCAAAGGGCATACTTCCCGGGTCCCATATGAATTATATCGATATCGGTCGAGCGGATTTAAAAAAAAATCAACCGTAAATATATTTTTTAAATAAATTGTTTAATCGAATATGTTATTAAAAACTTTCTTCTTACAAATTACCTGCTTATTACGTCTACACTGAAAATGGAAAAATAAAAACTTAAGAAAAAAAAAACGATTTCCAGGCATTAAAATGTAAAAAATTACTAAACGGGGGTGTTCATTTAGAATAGATACCTGATAGATATTTTCGAATTCGGTGCCTAAGGTCAGTCGAGATGTCTAAACCCTTAGTCTCTCCCGTGATCATGATTGTTGTGAAGCATTTGAAATGTCGAGAACCAAAAACCAAAATAAATCCGCGAAAGGTCCGAAAAATAGTTTTATTTAAATTTTCGGCCTTTATCGGTCGGTTAACTCAAAGTAGTACCCTCATATCTCGCTTACGTATTAATAAAAAAAGAAATCAAACCTTCGGGAAAATTGTGATTTTCTATTAAATGACATGTGATACGGTACTCCATCTTAAGGCATTCAGCTAGTTCCATCTTAGCACCCCTTTGCAACGATAGTAGTGTGATTTTGAGAGAACCAGGGCACATTTCATGAAGGGTCTAAAATGTAATACAACAGAAAAGTATAAACTACTAGCAGTACCCGCAGCTTCGCCCGCGTCCAAACATCCGATCGCTAACAAAATTCATCGGATCACCTGCTGGGCTAATCTGAAGATTACCTGAAAATTTCATCAAAATTGCTCCAGCTGTTTTGGAGTCCATAGGAAACATACATAAACACATCGATTTTTATTTTATTTAATCAACGATTTAAATTTATTTATTGCTCGGAAAATGGAGTCTTTTATGAAAATTTGCGAACACACCGACTGCAGCGCTACCTACCGGATCCATTTGTGAATTCAAACCTCGAACAAACACAAAAAATATATTTAAATATATATATTTTTTAATTTATTGTGACTCACCTTAATTGTCTTAACAGACCAATCAGTCTGAATTTTCTCTAGTCTCTGAATTATTTCCTCAACAGTGGAAGCAGCAAAACAGTATTTTATATGTTTCATGTTTAGTGCCAATGAGAACTCTCCTACAGGCTCACTATACATACCCAACAAATTTTTTATTTATTTATTTAATACTTTATTACACCAGAAAAGAAGTACAATTTTAAAACACATATTATATAGAAAATATTTCAGTGTAAAGGCGGCCTTATCACTTAAAGTGATCTCTTCCAGGCAACCCATAAACCGATAAAGGATCTCTAAAGATATAATGGATAGGGGTTGGCGCAACAAAAAACAATATAACATACTTACTTATACGGTACATACTATAAATTACACATAAGTTTACATAAATAACAATAAAGAGATAAATAAATATATATTACATAGTATATAAGTTTAGACCATATACATATATATTCCACAATAAACTTACATAAACAGGATGTACATAAATATACATAGACTTACAGGGATAAATAATAGTCTTTAAGACGACGTTTAAAAACTTGCACTGATTTTGATTGGCGAATATTATGTGGTAAAGCATTCCATAATATTGCGGCTTTGACTGTATATGAGTCACCATAGTTTTGGGTGCGACTGACGGGCAGTGCTAATTTACTGTCAGCTTGCGATCGAAGGTTTAGGGAATGGCCAGAACCAAGGAAACTAAACCTTGTTTTAAGGTAAGGAGGAGTGTGAGAGTGAAAAAGGATGGTGTATAGGAGAGTGAGGATATGCAAGTTACGACGCTGTTTGACGGTGAGCCATTTGAGTTGAGCTCGATATTGAGAGATGTGGTCAAATTTTCTCAAACCGTAAACAAATCGGATTGCCATATTTTGTAGACGCTCCAATTTATTGAGGTGAATCTGCGACAAGTCAGGATAGCATGTATCGGCATAATCGAGTAAGGGAAGGAGAAGGGTTTGTGCTAGGGATACTTTAGTTTTTATTGGTAAAAATTTTTTCCACCTCCTCAAACGACTAATTACAGCGAAGAACCTCCTACTTACTTCAGAAATCTGGGGCGCCCATGATAATCTGGGGCGCCCATGATCGCCCATGATGAATTTTGTATGTCTCCATCACTGGTACATTTAGATAATGCTTTCTCTAGATCAGGAAGACTCTGGCTGGATACGAAATGGGTGGCTATGCCAACTTTAGCAACATCCTGACCTTTTAATCTATTACCTGTAAAATTGTAAAAGATAAGAGAAGAAGATACCTACTATTAATACGTTTTTGTTTTAGAAATGAAAAATTTATTACATTATATTTTGTTAGTCATACCAGTCAATCCCAAGTAAATTCCCAAATTATCTTGCAACCTAGGCAAGAAGTAAGAACCACCAGCATCTGGAGAAAATCCAATTTTAACCTCAGGCATAGCAATTATAGTTTTTTCAGTTGCCACTCTGTATTTTCCATGAACTGATATACCTAATCCACCACCCATAGCGAAACCATGTATTAGTGCTACATATGGTATCTTGTACTTTTTAATATAATTAGTAACATTGTATCCAACAGCAAACATAATTGGACCATGGACTCTATCGATTGCTTGTATAATATCTCCACCGGGGCAGAATGCCTTGTCACCGGCCCCTTTAATAATAACCAAACACTTGGTGTTTTCCCAATCATACATCTGATGCAGCATCTTAGACAAGACAGATTTGTTTACAGAGTTCAGAACTTTTGGCCTATTTAAAGTAATAATGCCTGCATTGTTTATAGCTTCAAAGATCACCTCAGGTTCTTGAGTGGATGAAGATCGTTTTAAAAGGCAAGCAGCTTGTGGTAATATTCTTGCCTTACAATTAAACATCTGTAAAAAAAATATTTTCTCCTAAAAATTAGAGAATAAATATAACAATAATAATATTATATTTCGGTACATAAACATATTTTAAAAAAAATTTTTATATTAGAAGTACATATAATTAAATTTACACCATTATTTAACATGACCAAAGATTATTTATATATTACAACTAAAATTTATAGGTACGCGATTTTTCTATGTACTAAATGAAAAAAATATATTTTTTACTCATAATTTAACCGACTGTGTAAGTCAATTATATCAATTAATTTTGGGAGAATTTAAGCAGTTACCTTAAAATTAAAGCTGATAGTATTAATAAAAGTAAAAAGGATAAGGAAAAATAAAATGTACGTTTTTATCTACTAAGAAAATGTACGTGCCACTAATACAGGTTATCAGTTTTAATTAAATATTCAGTATGTCTAAATATCCTTCCGTGAGAACCGTTTCAAGTGATAAGTGATAGTTCGAAGCAAGAAAAACTAAATAAATCGACTTAACTAGCTACTTACCCTGGCTTTGCTCGGATGCGTAACTAATTATGTTTTAAACAGATATTAAAAGGTAATAGTTTTTACGAGTGTACTTTAGGAGATAGACGTGTGCTATTGCAGACTTTTATGTAGGCCGTATTAAGACGTACAATTTTCTAGTACATTGTTTTTATGTGTCTTTTAAAGTTTAGCCAACGTATTAACGTCGTTAGACGACGACTCAACAGAATCTGTTATGGTGTTTTCCCAAGGGAATGAAATATAGTAAAAAAAAAACATACAGTCGAATTGAGAACCTCCTCCTTTTTGAAGTCGGTTGAAAAGGTATTTTATAATCACAATGCCGAGTTCAACATCGCCGGCGCCGCCACCGAACGATTCGATTACACAAAATTTCGGCTTCACGGTCACGGTCGCGTTACTTACATATGTATATCGTAACTAGCGACTCACTCTAACTCCGCTCGGGTTTTTCTCTACTTACGTTTTAATATAGATTTCTTAGAGATGAGATATTTACTAAATTTTAGCAAAATCTCTCCAGTGGTTTTTCCGTGATGTGGTCACAAACAGACAGGCGGACGGACAAAAATTCTAAAAGCTATAGATTCGGATTATCGATAATAATGACTTCAATAAGATTTTCCAAAAAATATATAATGTACAGATTCGGCTTAGTTACAATTTTATTATATGTATGGACATATCTTAAACTACCCGCCCAAGTGACATACAGTAAACAACAACAATTAATATGTCCATTTCATACTTCTTATGAAGTTTATGAATATAAAAATTTGATATGTATATGCTGTCGCGGACTTTTTTATAGAAATCATTCTGAATATGTATTATCTCTTACTGTTAAAGCAGCGTTCGTAAAAAACGCTTTCGTTCGACCGTTTTATGTAGACTTACCTACTTAGCAAATTCGGATAACATGAAAAAGCCTTTTTATTTTACAGGATAATATATATATCCATCCTGAAATTCCATTCTAAATATTGGTGAAAGATTTTTTTGAATTGGATAGATCATTTCGAAGATTACCTCTACATCCAAACTTACAAATTTACTTTATTTTAATTTAGATAGCATTGTTCAGTTAATTATTGCATATATTACCTAGATAAAATGTCGATTGCCCTAAACCGGTTGAACAAGTAAGTACCGATACAAACTAGTACCGATAGTAATTGTAGGAGTCTAGGAGACAACTACAATAAAATATCAAGACTCGGAGCTAATTTGAAACATGAAAATAAATAATATGTATTATGCTTCCGACTGCATAATACTATGTTTCTTCATCAACTTGTTCTCATCTTTTAAGTTCGCTTTTTCAGTACCAGACCCAATTCTTCTCATACTGTCCGACACCAGTAATTTTCGAGTCGAAACTGTCGCCAAATTTCAAATAACATAGAACTTATGATATTGAGGGTCTGGATTTAAAAATAAAAAAGACCTAACGAAAAGGCTAAGACGGGAGTGTTAAACGTAGGTCTCATGTCACAACCTGCGTTACCTAAGTCGGGCCTCTCACATAATCAAATTTCAAAAATTAAAACTTACAAATACATATATGTATAATCTACTTAAATTTCAGAAATTAAAGTCTATTTACTTAATACTTATATTTTATAAACATGGAAACCTTAACAGGTGTTTAATATGTACAGATTGTCCTCACATAAACACTCAAACTTCGGTGTACCAGTGACTACCCGGCAAAAAAAGCTATAAAATATTCATAACTGAAAGGTAGAAAAATCTTGCTAATCCTAAATGTAAATAAATAAAAAGTTAATATTTTTTATATATTTGCGTTTGGTCTCTAGAACGCCACATAGGAGCAAACATACCTACATACATATATACCTACATACATACAAATTGATTGATTGATAAACACATCACCCTCCTTTGCGTCGCGCAGTCGGGTAAAATGAAATTGTCAATTTTGTCAAAATGTTGGAGGTTATTTTAGTTATTTTAATAAGGTTTGCTAGTGGTTATTACATATTTTACAAGAAATGATTTAAGTTATTATTTAATAGATCATAATATTGTTTCAAGTGAAATTATTGAAAAATTGAAACAAGAAAACCTTTTTGTTATAAAATATGACTCATATGTACCTACAATGTACGAAAAACATGTTTATTAGTAATTACTTATTTTAAGTATGGAAAAAATATGAAAATTTTATAACTTTACGTCTCCATATTTTTTGACTCCTACGTTTTCTCAAAATAATTTTAAATTTATACTTCTTTTCGTGCGTTAAGGAAAAAACTATGAATAATATTATTTTATTCGTAGGATTAATTATTTTAGTTTGATTGAGCATGCCAAATCCAGGTGTGTGTAGTACCTAGTTATCATTACCTATTGTGACTGAGATTTAAGTACCTAATTTAAATTGGCAATAATTTAAATTTTTGAAGTTTGAACTTTGACTTTGACTAAGCATGGAAATGATTGCTACTTTTAAATCATTATCATGTGATAAAATTACGTATATTTTTCACGTGATTTCACCTGCTACTTTTCACGCATAGATTTTTGATTTCGACGGTCTGGTGTCACACTTTATATTATTTGCTATTAAAATGAAGTATGAAATGTCACCAATGGCGCTACTGATGTGATATGGAGCAGAGATATAGATCTGACGTAGTTGCATACGTACATGGTGCTTTGAATGAACCTATTTTCAAACAATGAACTTTCCCTCATACTTCTACAGGCTTGGGACTGACAATGTAAAATAAAATGAATTTTAAATATATCAGAGTAATCACACGGTAAAATTGTATTAAGCTAAGTTCCATAATTACATTGGCGTATTTAAAAGTTTATTGTTTTTATGTACAATAAGAATTTTTATAAAAGAATTTTATACACTTTTTTTTGTTTTTCTTAATTTTTTTAATTTGTTTATAATCATTTTTTTTTGCTTTTTGATTTTTTTGATGATTGATTTTTTTATGAGATATCTATATACAATAGTCTTCATTGCTTTTTAAAAATACAAGTTCCGCTGTTCGTTTTCTGCTTAATCGTGCTCTTTTTTGGGTTGCAAAATTTCCCGCTTTTGAAAATACCTCTCACACTCCACTGATGTCACCACGATGTGACAGTGCTCATGAAATATTTCCGCCAAATTGGGGTACATATAGGAGTGAGATTTCCACCAAACTAATGGCGAAGAATCGCGCGGAAGCACTGGTTCATTAATTTCTAGCTCGTTCTCAGCGTTGGTGGTTATGTCTGTACGTATTACACATAATCATTCAGTAAAAATTATAAGTATTTGTTGGATAAAAAACTAAAAATGTGCTCTAAATTTAATTGTTGTTTCTAATTTAAAATTATTTCTAAACAATATTTCTAAGAATCCGAAATCATGCAACTCGAAATAAATAAACTCCCCAATTTACTGATCAACGGTATTAACTGAAAATTGTATTTTGTTGAATAAAAAATCAATAAAAACATCAGTACGAAAATGTATACGGAAAATGCGAGTAACGAAATGCATTCGTGAGTAACGTTTCGGTACTCGGTACTAGATGGCGTACCCGTTACTCAGTAACGAATACATACGGTTTGCTACAGCTCTAGATTTCACCAAGTTGTGATTTGTAGCAGTCACTATGAATCATCCATTTTATTTGTCATCCATGCTATGAATTTAAGTAGCAGGTGTGACGTATGATAACGCATTTCACGTGATTTTTCACTTGCTACTCGTGAAATGTTCCATGCCTAACTTTGACATAACATACGTAGGTAACATTGTGTCGTAAATTATACTTCTAAAGAATGTGTAAAATTTATGAAATAATGTTTAATAAAGTTGCAATGAAATGGGTTTGATCAGGAAAACAATCAACTGGTATGCAAGATTAGCTCCCAGTCGTGGGCGGTCAAAGCCGCCTTACGAGCATGTCGTACAAATTGGGGATCCGACGTTACGTAAAATTTCTGAGCCGGTGCCGGTCGAGAAAATAAAATCTATAGAAGTTCAAAACGTGATACAAAAATTAAAGTATGTCCTTCATAAATATGGCAGTGTTGGAATGTCTGCACCTCAAGTTGGTGTCAACATAAGAATATTTGTTATAAGACAAACCCCTAAACAGATCGCATCAATACCTGCAGAAATAATTAAGCATAAAGATATAAGCGTTATACCGTTGACTGTGAGTAAGTAATTATACTTTCTGTATAACATGCCTATTAAATGAGTTTAATAATTATTGTAAATCTTTTATAGGTTTTCATTAATCCCACACTTAAAGTGGTGGATTATCAAAAATTCATACACCCTGAGGGATGTGAAAGTGTAAGATCATTTTCAGCAGACGTTGCAAGATATAAGGAAGTTCAAGTTACAGGTGCAAAATCCTTAATATTTAATAAATTAAAAGTAATACCTTCTTAAAGTACTTTTAAAATGTATATTGTTAGCGACTCATCCCCATGAATGTTTTAAAGGTTAGTTTGGAATAGATAGACTATATATTATATATATAAATATGTCTGGTTATTGGTTGTATTATAACATGTTTTCCCATGGAAATGGGATAATCTCCTGTAGTAAAAAGGAATCTATGTCACTATCCAACTATGTCAACACAAAAAATCACACCAATTTGTCTCTCAGTTTTAACATGAAAGAAGGACAAACAAACACTTTCACATTTATAATATTATTATGGGTTTTCAGGCTATGATTCAAAAGGAGAAGAAATATTGAAAGTTTTTAGAGGTTGGGCAGCAAGAATAGCTCAACATGAAATGGACCACTTAGATGGAAAACTTTATACAGATGTTATGGATCGAAAAAGTTTACAGTGCACTTGCTGGGAGGAAGTAAACTTATCAAAAGGAAAAGTTGTTATTCCTTTTACACCAGATTAATTTATTAACTTGTTTTAAGTGTTATGTCCATAAGAATAAAATGTTTTTAATAAAATCATCAGTTTTACAATAATGCATGGAAGTCTGCCTGATTTGTTGACATTTATGATTTCTGCTCGCTCCCTTGGATAGTAGCATGATGATATATAGCCTATTGCCTTCCTCAATAAATTGGCTATCTAATACAAAAGAAGAATAGAATTTTTCAAGTCGGATTAGTAATTCCTGAGATTAACATGTTCAATCAAACTTTTCCTCTGTAATTTATGTATATAATAGATAATTTAAATGTATGCAGTTTAGCTGATTTTGAAATCTTAGGTTTAAGTCTCAAACCAGACAGAAAATCTTAGTAGTAGTCTAGAATTTGTGGTTTGTAAATTTGGATAATGACTGTAATTGACTTTGGCATAATACCAACTCTTTAAACCACAACAAACCAGAGACAGTGGTTGCTATCTCTTTATCAGGCATTATTTTTAAATTAATACCCTGTTCTACTTGACCAGGTTACATAGAGCGAATCGCCACCCCCTTGACCATATTATACAAGTATTACAGCTATATTTAAGTAGGGGGTCTGAGAGTAACAAGTAGATCCAATTTTATGTTTTCTTTTTTATAACTTTATTTAATAACTAGCGAGTTACGTTGCTCCGCTCGGGTTCGTCCCTACTCGCTAGGTACATTTTAACAGTTAGTAAACATTTCTCAGAGATATTTTCCCGCAGTAAAAAGTATCCTATAAGTTGACCAGGATAACCAGCTATCATCATATCAAATTTCATCAGTCTGTCCAGTGGTTTTATCGCGATGCGTCCCAGACAGACAGGCAAAAATTCTAAAAACTATAGATTCAGCCTCTGTATCGATAATAATGACTATTTCAATAAGAAATTCCAAAAAATATTTAATATACAGATTTGACTCAGTTAGAATTTTATTATATACATAGATATATTTTTAAGCAATAATTTTATTTAATACTAGCATTGCCCGCGGCTCCGCCCGCGTTCAGATGACTAAAAACCAAATTCTTAGGTTTTACATGTAAGTATACTCTTACATTAGTTTTTGAATTTTTTTTCAGAAATGAGATTTTTCCGCAGAAAAAAGTATCTTATATGTTGACCCGGATAATCAGCTATGACCATATCAAATTTCATCAAAATCCGCCCAGTAGTTTTTCTGTGATGCGGTAACAGACAGACAGATAGACAGACAAAAATTCTAAAAACTATAGATTCGGCCTCTGTATCGATAATAATGTCTATTTAAATAACATTTTCCAAAAAAATTTTCAATGTACAAATTTGACTCTGAATTTTATGATATGTATGGACAAGGTTCAGTACTAAAATTAAGAAACGAAACATTTTAAAGCAATATATTTATTTATAATTAATTACAATGCATTCTAATAAGTACCTTTAACTTGTTAGAGAATAGGTCTTTTAATAAATATTTCTATAATAGAGTTAAACACATACAGAGAGTAACAATAATTACATCTTGATACTAATTAAACAATTTTCATTTATTTTACCAGCTGCTTTATATTATAATTAATAACATCGATTTTTTAAAGTTAAATATATGTGAGAGCTTTATCATATTAAAGAGATATTTGATACACAAATTATGATTTTATAGGACTTAGTATATGTAGGAAACACTATGTTGATAGTTTTCTAAATATTCTTTTAGGTTCATTTATTTAATTCCTTTATTTAATATACTAAAAATACGATAATATTTAAGCGAATTTTGTTCTTCCTCATAGCTTTTTATTTTGTACCAATTAAGTTTTTTTTTTTACTTTTCACTGTATATATACATATGTATGTAGTTAATTGTATGGGAATAGTCACTTGTACCTTTCAATTACTGTATCATGTAAGAGTGCAACATCTATTGTGCTTTTTAGGACTGTTGTGCCAGTATCGGTTAATTCGCAACGGGAAGTTTCTTTTATATTAAATCCTCCATGTTTAAATCATAATCTCTCTGTGTTGGACTAAAGGAAATGTAGCCAATAGACCTCTTCACTTTCTCCATCATACAATCCATACACACATCCATACAGCAACTATCGGTAAAATTCAAGACCATATCAATATCAATGTACAAAAATTAACGATAAATCTTAATACTTTTTCATATATCTTTTCGGATTTTTTCGCGGATCTATTTTGATCTTTGGTTCCCGACGTTTTAAATTCTTTACAGCAATTATGATTACGATAAATCTAAGAAAGCATTACTTTTACAAAATATTTTAGTAGTAATAATAAGTGACCAAAGTCATGCAACTGGCCAAATTATGAGATATCCTTGAATTTCCACCCATAATCACATGGTCCAGCTTCCAACAAAAATCGAATATGCACCACAATTCCTTCAGTCAATCCTAGCTATCACCCTACAGCTTCCACCCGCAGCGAACATTCCAGTGCATCAGTTATCTGCGAAAAAAAGACATTTTACTCATTTATACTAATATGACAGAGGTAAAGTTTCTGATATTGTGAGATTGTGACGTTGTAGGGGGTAATCTCTGGATCTAATGAACCGATTTTCAAAATTCTTTTACCAATAGAAAGCCACGTTCTTTTTGAGTGTCATAGGCCGAATATATATATATATAAATATTAACCCGAAGAATGAAAAGACTTTTTCATGGTAGTCGGATTTGCAAAGTCGGAGAAAAAACGGTCAAACGAAAACGTTTCTTACGAACGCTGTCTTGTCTTAACGATGAGAGATATATGATTATGTTCTAGAGAAAAGTTGTAGAGCTTAATAATGCCTACAAAAAAGTCAGCGACAGCATACGTCAAACTTTTATATTTAAATCACAAAAAGTAGTTTTTTATATAAAAAAATTATTTAAATCGGTAGGTCATGTTTATTGGTCATATTATCAACAATTATGAATTCTTATCAAAATAAGTAAATTTATCGTCTAAAATGTTTAAAACAAAAAACTTTCCAGTTTTACTGCCTATAATTTGGACAAATGGTTTAAGAGATAATACGACATACACATAGGTATGGAACCGCGACCGCGTCGTAACCTATTGAGTGATATTTTTATAAGATGGTTTTTTTCATATATGATACGTCAATCTATCTATACTAATATTATAAAGAGGTAAAGTTTATGAGTTTGTGAATTGTGAGTTTGTGAGGTTGTAGGGGGTAATCTCTGGATCTACTGAACCGATTTAGATGAAATTTGGTAAGAAGATAGTTTGAAGTCTAAATCGGTTCAGTAGATCCAGATATTATCCCCTACAACGTCACAAACTCATAATCTCACAAACTACTTCTTTATAATATTAGTATAGATTAGTATATAAGTATAGATTGTATTTCTGAAACGGCAATAGTTTTGTATTTGAATTGTTCTGGAGGGCATCACGGATGGTGGGGGTGGTGGGTGGTAGACGCATACCTGAGCGGGTTGGAGGCGAGCGAGGTGAGGCTGGTGAGGCTGGGCGGGCCGCTGGCCAGGCTGAGGCGGTCGGTCTCGTCGTCGGCCTGGTTGTTGCGCAGCTCCTGCAGCGTGTACACGAACTTCGTCCACTCGTCGTGACGCGGCTGCGCTACGTTCTGCAATAACAAACGTTTTAACACCTCACGTTTAAATTCTAAGAAATTAATTGTTAATCGAGCTACCTGTGGCTCGGCAGTCGTTGACAGGTTATATCACACGGTCCCATCGACTGTCCAAAATACGTGGCAAAACAAGCAATTTTGTGCATATTACAGCACTCTTATGAATTGTTGGAAATTATTTAAAAATAAAAACATAACATTGTTTGATGAGCAATCTGTTTTTGTCAGATTCAAAGAGGTTATCTGATGAAAGTTTAAATATTACGTCGAATTTATAATGGATTCATGCTCATATAACTTTTTCTTAATATAATAGTCTCCACCTTTGTCCACGTCATTTTCTATGTATTTTTTTTTATTACTTGTTTAGTGCAATAAAGAATATATAATAGTTATTGATTAATAGGTAATGTCTGATATTGCTGAACAAATTTTAATGTGAATTTAAATAGCGTATGCGGGTGAAAATGATTCATATTCTAGCGGTGTGTTATGAAATTGTATTAATCAATACAATTTTATAACACACCACAAGCAACTACACGGTAGTTAGCAGCACAAAACAACAACAAAAATGATTAATACGGGAGTATCACACAATTTAATATGAACATTTAATACATTAAGGGCTTATGTAAAGAACAAAATGCTGTATAATGTAAACAATAATAATTGTAATTGTCGTATAAACTGATGGCGGTGGTATGTGTGTGGTACCTCAGCGAGCTCGTAGACCCATATCTTGCCGTTGTCGTCGCCGGCGGTGAGGTGCGCGCCGCTCGGGCTCCACGACACGCGGTTGAAGGCCACGCCGCCCTCCGACATCACCGACGCGATCGGCACCTGACGCACGCATACACACATACATATATACATATGATTAATATTATACATGTACACTTTATTTATTTATACTTTTGATCACACAACTATTATATATAAATGTGTAAGTTTGGTATGTTTTGTAAAAGAAAATGTTGCTAATAAAATGCTAGGTGCGACAGAAACTATTCTATGGACTTTGTCTCATTCTTTAATTTTCAAATGAACGTCAAAATATTCTGTAATTTTTTATCAAAAAGAACAGGATTTTACCCGATTGCAGCGAAGCGCAATAGATGGGTTATATGTTTGAGTAAAGAAGGGTTATAAACACTTTTTATTTTTAAGATTAAGTAATTTTCATTTAATACCACTAAAATTGACATTTAAAAGTCAAATAATTCTGTACCAAAAACTCTAAGAGTTAATTGGTAAATTTAATAGGTACTTGGACAAATAAGCACTGAGACGACGAATTGTCATCCAATTCTTAATCTGTGACGTGCGCGTGCCTCCATACATATTCATATACCAAGAGCGACAAAGCATTTGTCGACGTCAGCGTTCTACGGTGTCGACAAAAAAGAACTTGTCGGTGCCATCATACCTCGTTGTCGCCGACAAAGCAGTTGTCGACGCCAGCGTACCTCTGTGTCGCGGTTGAGGTTCCACAGGTCGAGGCGGCCGGCGGCGTCGGCGGCGGCGAAGAGCGCGGGGTGCGCGGGCGACCAGCGCACGTCTGCCACGTAGTCGCCGCTGTCCTCGAACGAGTACAGCGCCTTGCTCTCCTGTAACGACACATACGTTATATTTTTCAACAGCTTGCTCTAGTGTTCATTACTGACTAGTATTTTAAATACGAAATTTGTGTGTACATTTTATATATGCATGTGTATTTTTCACTTCATATTGAAACGTTTGGTTGGAGTATAGGCTATGTTTGGCACTTTAGGACACACCCTTTAAGCGTAAGTTTAGTTTATATCTTGGTATGAGCCCTAGCTTGAGTAAAGAATAGTAATTGGATTTTATCAAAACCAAAATATGTATATTCATATTACAATATAATATACCAGTTACTAATTTTAAAACTTAAATTTTATATTTTTATTTAATTTGAAAAGTATTAAACGTGTACAAACAGAATTAAACAAGAAAAAAGAATACCAATTGATTTCTTTTATTTTTACGTTTCAAACACACCCAGCGACTCAACAACACAAGTACAAATATGAAAGTTTGTACAAGTGTTTTTATTACTTCTCTATACAACAGCCCACAGACCTTAGTACTCCACAGCTTGACACTCCAGTCCACCGAGGCCGTCAAATAGAGGTGTGACAGGTCCAAGGCGGCGGGCGCCTGGTGGCACGCCACGGCGGTCACCGGGCCCGCGTGCGCCTCCACGCTGTCCGCCACGCCGGCGCGCTGGCCGTGCCGGCAGCCGAGGTACACGTGCCCGTCCTCGCCGCCCAGCACGAAGTTGTTGACGTCCCCGTACGGGAAGTCCATGGAGGTGACGGCGACGGCCTTGCTCTGCCGGTGCTGCAGCTCGAGGGTCTCCTGCGGCTGCGAGAGCATGTCCAGCGACCAGGAGCACATGCGGCCGTCGGTGGACACGGAGATGAGGTTGTGCGCGTTCTGGCTGCCCACCACGGCCAGGCAGTACACGGGGTGCGTGTGCGCGAGGGAGGACAGCGGCGTGCGCTGCACGGGCGTGCGCTTCTGCACGCGGTTGTCCCACAGCACGATCTGGCCGGAGTACGTGCCGCCTAAGATTAAGTTCGGGTGGAATCTGTTGGGATATTATACCATTTATAATTGTTATATAAAATGGATGAATCAATTCGAAGTGCGTTTTCATATATACCATATATACCATATTTCATATTTCTTTTGAGGATTACTAAAAAACTAACAAAATTTTTACTAATTTTTATTGTAAAAATGATCGTGAAAAAAATATATTGTTTAAATATTTTTATTATTTAATATGTAACTGTGTCTTATAGTCTTTAAACAAAAAATCAAAATGAAAAAAGTTTACTAAAAACAAGATTCTAATATTAAATAAAAACTACTTTCATTAATACATATAATTGAAGTATTATTATAAATTTTAAACAATGTATGTATATTTGTTACTCTTTTACGGGAAAACTTCTGGACAAATTTGTATGAGATTTAGTACACAGATAGGTTACGATCTAGCATATTGATACCCTAATTTACAAGTCGGCTAACTCTGTCTCAGTCAACTTTTCAAAGTCTACCAAAGAAATAAATAATTCAATAATACTTACGAAATTGAAAAAAAAAACATTTTTTAACAACAATATTATTGAATAATATTAAGCTTTATATTTTCCGGGTTGTTAATACATATTATTAAAATAACAACATTTTTAGTGCTTTTTAAAAAGTATATTAACCACCCCGGTCGTCGGTTGTGCGTGTGTACCTGGCGAAGGTGGCGCTCATGACGGGCGACTGGCAGTGGAAGATGTCCTCGGGCGTGGTCTTCTTGAACTTGGTGTTCCAGACGAGGCAGACGCCGTCGGGGTCGTGCGGCGCGTCGTCGCTGTTGTGGTAGGCCGCCAGCAGCAGCTCGGGGTGCGCCGCCGACCAGTCCAGGCACGTCACGCAGCGCCCGCGCGACCACCGCTCGTCGCTGAACGTGCGCACCAGCGACAGCCGCGCGTCCGACTTGTCGTCCCTGTACACCGCACACGACACGACATGCTAATTATTTACAACTCACGATCACCTTTCAATCCATAATAGGATCATATTAAATAATACGATATGTAGGGGTGTTTTCGCGAATTTATTTTGGATTTTGGTTCCCGATTTTACGAATGTTTTACAGCAATCATGGTCACGGTAAGGTTTTATTTAAAAAGTCAAATGTACGCGTAAACCTATAAAAGTATTATAAATAATTATAATAATGATTGGAAGGAATCTCAGACTTAGCACAACGCACAACATCATACTCATCATTCACGTAATTTTTCATGGTCTAGAGTACGATAGATACGTCATTTGATTTAAGCAAGACACATGTTAATAAAATAACCAAAAACACTACCCGTCGTACAAGTTTATTGGGAGAATCATATCCATATAATATCATGAATAGAAAACTGCTTTTTATTGACTGATCTGACATTACGTTTTGGTAAAATTACACACCCTAAACAGCCATAACAAATATATGAGCACAAGACAACACTAACTGTGCGTTCTCGTTGTCGCCCCCGCCGGTGTAGTCCGTGTAGATGTCGACGGACTCGGCGAGCGCGCGCTCGATGACGCGGCCGGCGCGGCTGATGAACTTCTGGAACTCCGACGACAGCAGGATGGTCTGCTTCTCGTCGTTGCTCAGCTCCCGAACTAAATACATAGATAAATAATTTATTACATACACAAAAGAAGAGTGCAGAAGATGAAAAGAAAAATAACAAAAAGGCATGCAAAGACGGTCTTTCGGGCGGTCCAGCTATGAGCAATCTTCTACCTACAGACTATCTTTGGTGAAAGGATTAGTGGAACAGTAGACAACTACTATTATATAAAATAGTGAGTGTTGAAACTAGAATGTCGATTAATACGAGATTTACAAATATGGTGCATTTTTAATACAACATTTAAACAGACAAAAATCTTTTGTCTCTGATAATAATCATATAGGTACAATACAATCTCCCTCGTCCTAAAAATTCTCAGTAGCAGCCCGGAATAGGAGGGATGAGATAGCGGTGCTAGACCCCGTATATCGGAGAACGTGTAAAGCCCACCGGGCATTATAAGTGAATGCACTTGTGTTAACGAACACTTGTACACTATAATATGTTCTGCGCAATTAGCTATTTTTAACCCCAGACGCAAAAACGACGGGGTGTTATAAGTTTGACGTGTCTGTGTGCGGCATTGTAGCTCCCGAACGGATGAACCGATCTTGATTTTGTTTTTTTTGTTTGAAAGGTAAATTAGTCGGGAATGTTCTTAGGTATGTTTGATGAAAATCGGTCCAAGATGGCCGCCGCCACAAAATGGTGGATTACTTATTTTTTCACAACTCCCTCAATACGGGTATCAAATGAAAGGGCTCGACTAGTAGAATACTATACATTATGATAAATTTCAAATTCAAGATGGCCGCCACCACAAAATGACGAATTACATGTCGGGGGTTTTTTAAATTTTTAATTTAATTTAGTCAGTGAGATTGATCGCCGTGACCGAAATCAGTAAAATAGTGAATATTCTCATGTAACAAACAGCTAAGTTAGTATAGCCAACAAGACTCCAGATTATTCATTACCTTATTACTTTGCTTCTATTTCATTCTACACCGTATAACATAGCAACGCACCTTTCTTCTCCTTCTCCTCCTCCTTCTTCTCCACAGGCGCCTCCGTGACGGCCGGCTGCACCTCCTTGACGGTGGGCAGGCCGTGCGGCAGGATGCCCGGCGGGAGCTTTCCATGGAAGGCGGCCTCCTCGTCATCGCCTTGCCGAACGCCATCCCCGTCGAATGTAAGCACTGGACGGTGAATAAGAATGGCCCTTTGTGGCCGACGACTACACGGTCGCGACTGACTTATGTGTTGATAAATCAAGTCTATCAAACTTGATACAGTTTAAATGCATGTCTTAAAGTTCATATGTCTTCAATTTGTTTATAAGTCTGTCGCACCCTTTTTATGTTCTATGGAGTTATTTTAGTATACACAAAACTCGTTTTATAAGTAAATGGCATAAATATAAACCTGAAAGTGTCAGTTTTATTTGGCAATTTTAAAATAACTTCATAAATACATGAAATGTTTTCGTGATGTGTGAAAGGAAGTATGTGTTCGCACTATTTCATCTACCAGCGAAACGGTTATAGGTGATATCTAATAGACCTACATTAAAACGAAGGTAGAATTCATGTAAGATATAAAAATGTGGAAAAAAATATATAATTGAAATAGTATGATACTTACTGTCTATAAATAATAAATAAGCAAACAATGACTTTACATCTTACATGCTTCATGAATTTTCAAAGCAATAATGGGTTACGCTAAATTTTTCGTGATATTAAAGTACTGCTTTTAATAATTGAGAAATGAAATAGTAAATTAGGTTTCCCAATGATAATGCCAATTTATTAAATCTGGCCGAAAAAAAAACTATATTAAGCCCTAAATATACTTTAAACAAAAAATATATTTATATGGCGAATTAATTTTATGAATTAAAAAAAAAAAAACAAAGCGGCCAAATTTTATACTATCTATTAACACGAAAGCATGATAATATGTCTGATTGTGGTAGTTTATGTTAATCATAACTTTAGTCCTTCTTAAAGTTATCAAGCTTTATAATATTTAAAGATTTGCAAGAAATTGACATTTGAGAATTGTTTTTGTAACATGGATTATAGTTACAGTAGAATAATCATAAGATCTTTCACTAATATTTTAACACCAATCTTAGAAATTAAAATAACTAACAAGTGCTAGTTTCATATGCAATATAGGGTCAAATATTCTCTCTCACCTATGACTTCAACAAAACCAGATTGAAGTGCGCGGAATAGTAGAAAACTCGTGAATCACGAATTATGTAGGTATACTATACCACAGATTGTTGTAAAAATATTATTCTCAATATATTTTCTTTGTATAACGAAGTTCGAATTGATCATAAGATTTGGTGAGATTGTAATGAAAATTCAAGTACAAACATAGAAAAAAATATTTTGCAACATTGAAAATGATTTTTATCGTCGCTTCGGCAAAGGCCCTATTTTTAGCGAAAGTGCGACATCGATGTCGTTGGTTTTGGGACTATATGGCTGATTAGGATATCAAAAGACTCGTCCCGACGATGGCTACAAAACAAAAAGCGATATTGAAAAACTATAAAAAAGCCCTATGTTGTATATCTATAATCTATTATATTATATCTATGTTAAGAACTCTATGATTGTAACTATTGTCTATGCCTTATCTAGCTCTCTGGTCTGAATCATTGTATTGTAATGTCGAGTCACGTCTTTGGAGTCAAAACTGTCTAAAAATAATAAAGTCATATCAAGTCGATCAAGTATATTTATTAACCTAGCATCATAAAACATGGTGTCAGAAGTCGCAACAAAGTGAAGAATATATATATTTCACATCATCTCAAAGTCAATTGTTATAAAATTGAATCTTCAAAATGTCGACGTCTATAAAGCAAAACGTGGAAGCATGTTCTCAAAGTTATAACTTTAGTAATATACCGAAATTAAACATTGCAACGAATCAAAATAACAATTCTAATTGGAAGAAATGGTGGCAACATTTCGAGCTTTTTCTTCTTGCTACGGGTTTGGAAGAAGCACCTGAGAAAAGGAAAATAGCAATTATGTTACACACAATTGGAGAAAAAGGTATAGAAATTTATAATTCTTTCAATATAGACATAAACAAAATTACTTTAAAAGATATAAAAACTAAATTCGACAACTATTTTGAGCCACAGAAGAACTTAACTATTATCAGACATTCCTTTTTTACGAGAATGCAGAAACCCGAAGAGGGAATCGACGCATTTCTTACGGACTTACAAAATATTGGAAATAAATGTGAATTTGGTACACTGAAAGAATCACTAATTAAAGATATTTTTATAGCTAATATGAGTTCTAGATTAACACATGTTCGACAAAGATTATTGCAAGAGACTGACTTAAAACTTGAAAAAGCTATATCTATTGCCAAAACTGTCATTATGGCACAACAAAATGCACAAACAATGGAAAATTCTCAACATTCTGATACTGTTTTACACATATCACAGTCATATACAAAGTCACAGTCAAACAAACAGTCTACGAGTAAAAACAGAATTAACTCAAATAAAAATTTTACTAGTCGACGTAGTCAAAGTCCGGTACCAAAGACAGGTAACAACAAGAAATGTACTCATTGTGGTCAACATTATCACCGTTTCAAATGTCCTGCGTCAGGAGTAAGGTGTAAAATATGTCACAAGATTGGATATTTTGCAAAATATTGTTTTTCCAATAGATCTAACATTAGATCTTTAGAATCGTCTTATCCAGTCCAAGATGCCGAAGAGGTATCAAACAATGATCCAGAACAATTTTTCATCGGTATGGTGAAGAGTGTCAACAACAATAAGTCATGGTATTTATCAGTTCTAATTAATAATGTTGAAGTAAAATGCATACTTGATTCCGGTGCTGATACCAATATAATGTCTCTTAATACTTTTAACAAATTAAATTTATCACAGTCTATTATTAAAAGTTGTAGTGCAAATGTTAAAGGTTTCGATGGTTCGTCTATAGAAGTATTTGGTCAGTGTAATTTAAAATGTTTTTTCAATAATTGTCAAAGATACATATTATTTTTAATAGCAAATATTGATTGTGCTACTGTATAAGGTCTTCCCACATGTAGGGATATAGGAATATTAAAAAAAGTTTTTGCAGTCAACAGTAACGATAAATTTCTTTCTAGTAACCAAATTTTAAAATACTTTAATGATGTTTTTCATGGATTAGGATGTCTACCACCTGTCTGTCACCTCAAGTTGCAGCAGAATGCAATTCCATGTGTTGATCATCCCAGAAAAGTCCCATTTGGATTAAAAAATAAATTGAAAAAAGAATTGGATCGCATGTCAAAATTAAAGGTCATAGAAAAAGTCACATATCCAACCGAATGGGTAAATTCTGTAGTTATCACTGTCAAGAAATCAGGTCAGTTAAGAATTTGTTTAGATCCGAGAAATCTTAATAAATATATAGTCAGAGAACATTATCCTCTTAAAAGCATAGATGAAATTAGGTCAATATTGAATGGTGCTTCATATTTTTCTCATCTTGATGCTTATTCAGGGTTTTGGATGTTAAAACTTGATGATGCTAGTTCAGATCTTTGCACATTTCAAACTCCTTTTGGTCGTTATCGATACTTAAGATTACCTTATGGAATTAATGCTTCCTCAGAAATTTTTCAAAGAGTTATGACGGATATTTTTTCTGATATAGAAGGTGTTTTGGTTTTTGTAGATGATATTTTAGTATTTGGTGAAACAGAACAAATTCATAATCAAAGATTATTAAAAGTCATGCAAAGGGCTAGAGAAGTTAATTTAAAGTTCAATAAAAATAAATGTAAATTTTCAGTCAATGAAATATGTTTTTTAGGTTATATATTCAGTAAAGAAAGTGCAAAAGTTGATCAAAATAAAGTTAAAGCTATTCTTGATATGCCAGATCCAACTAACGTCAAAGAGTTACAAAGAATATTAGGAATGATTAATTACTTAGGACCTTTTATTAAAAAATTTTCAGATAAAACAAAAATTCTCAGAAATCTGTTAAAAAAGAATACTATATGGTTATGGGATGAAAATTGTAGTAAATGTTTTCAGTTATTAAAGGAGGAAATAACAAAATCTCCTATTTTAGTACATTACAATCCAAATATATCTCTTGTTTTGTCAGTAGATTCATCCAAGTCAGCATTAGGCGCAGTTCTCATGCAAAATAAACAACCTATTGCTTATAATTCTAAAACTTTAACAGCTACACAAGAAAAATATGCTCAAATAGAAAAAGAGTTATTGGCTATTCAATTTGGTTGTGAAAAATTTCACCAATATGTATATGGTAATAAGGTAACCGTACATACTGATCATAAGCCGCTAGTTTATTTGTTTAAAAAACCATTAAATGATGTACCTGCAAGGTTACAGAGAATGATGCTTTCATTGCAAGCTTATGATTTAAATGTTATTTATGTACCTGGTAAAGAGATGCATATTTCAGACACACTTTCTAGGGCAGCTTTAAAAGAAAATTATATTCCTAATTATGAATCAGATTTATCTTTTCATGTTAATTCTTTATATTCTAATTTAGCTATTAGTCAGGAATATAAAAATAAAATTTTAATTGCTACTAATTCTGATAAAGACTTACAAAAATTAAAAAAATATTGTCTAGAGGGATGGCCTGTTAGTAAAAATAAAATGGATCCTTTATTAAAGTATTATTGGAATATTCAAGGTGAAATACATATTATTAATGATTTATTGTTTAAAAGTGATAAATTAATTATTCCAAAATCAATGCAAAGTGAAATGTTAAGGAAAGTGCATGAAGGTCATCAAGGTATTAACAAATCTTTAAATTTAGCTAGAAGTATTATTTTTTGGCCAAATATGAGCGCAGATATAAAAAACTTAGTTGGTCAATGTCTTATTTGTGCTAAATTTAAACCAAATAATCAACAAGAACCTCTTCAAAGCTATGATATCACAAGTTTTCCATGGCAACAAGTCGGTATTGATTTAATGTATTTTAATAGCAAGAATTACTTAGTAGTTACTGATTATTATTCCAAATTTATAGAGTTAGCAATTTTAAATAGTCAATACACAGCATCTAATATAATAATACAATTAAAGTCTATCTTTGCTCGTCATGGTATACCCATGAAATTAGTATCTGATGGCGGTCCACCGTTTAATTCTGCTGAATTTAAATCTTTTTTATATGCTTGGGATATTGAACATATTATAACTAGTCCATATCACCCGAAATCTAATGGACAAGCTGAAAGTTCTGTTAAAATTATGAAAAATTTATTAAAAAAATGTTTAGAGTCAAATAAAGATCCTTACATGGCATTGTTACAGTATAGGAACACACCTAAAGCTAATTTTCCATCGCCAGCTCAATTATTAATGTCTAGAAATTTAAGAATGCATATACCAATTACTAATAAGAAACTTAAACCAAAAATTGTCACTTTTAATGAATATAAAAATAATTTTGAGAAAAAACGTGCTCGGAGTAAAATTTACTATGATAGAAATAAGAAACAATTACCATTATTACAGCCAGGAGATTATATAACTTTTAAAAAAAATCCTAACTCAGATTGGCTTCCTGGAAAAGTCATTAAAAGATTAGATTGTCAACGTTCATACATAATAGAAGACGCTGAAGGTAAAAGATATAGAAGGAATAGATTTTTAATTAAATTTAATTGTAATGATAGTTGTCATAAGTTTGATAATGAGATGAAATCCAAAAATTTTGAGGAAAGGGATAATCAGCAGAGGAACAGACAGATGGATACTAATAATAAAGAGATGGATAAAAATATTAATTTACAGGAGAATTGTAATAAAAGTAGATCAGGTAGAGTAATTAAGAAACCAGATAGGTTGAATTTGTAAATTTGTAATACTGTTAATATGTTCTGTAGTACATACTATGTATACTATTGTTTTTTCAGTTTAAGTAAAAAATCTAAATGTAAACTTTATTTTATAAAAAGGGAGATGTTGTATATCTATAATCTATTATATTATGTCTATGTTAAGAACTCTATGATTGTAACTATTGTCTATGCCTTATCTAGCTCTCTGGTCTGAATCATTGTATTGTAATGTCGAGTCACGTCTTTGAGTCAAAACTGTCTAAAAATAATAAAGTCATATCAAGTCGATCAAGTATATTTATTAACCTAGCATCATAAAACACCCTAGAGATATGACTTTGGGCAACATTTAAAAAAATATTGGAGGAGTGTATCACTGATGAGTTATTCAGAATTTCTAACTTTGTGACGCGGAGTTTACGCGCGGAGAGCGCGTGAGCGCGGTAGTGACGATAAATATGTTTTGGAGCATAATTACGTTTTTGTGTTAAGCGATTCTTTTTGAATAAATAAATATGTATTAAAATTAATAACTAAGTAATATAATTAATATGTTAAAAAAATAATGCAGTTCATTTGGCAGATTCATTTTCAATGTACCCGAAGTTCAAGGTTTCAAATACGAGATTTGTGGATTTTTTGTAAATTCTATAATAAAATTATACTGTATCTATAATCCATATATTGTCAATATATTATAACTAAATATTAATAGTAATTGTCAAAAATGGCGTCATGTTACAGTTTCAATAGTTCAGAGAGTAAGAAACTGTACCACGTGCATCTACAAGACAATCACACACTAGAAGTTACTAAGCGTTTTTACGTGAGTGACAGAAAGCTGTAATTAATAAAGGTATGCAAAAAAAAACTTCCCGAGCTCTCCACTAGAGAGAAATCTTATATAAAATATATACGAAATATAATCTAAATGATATGATGACTCTTAGTCATGCATAAACACGATATTTTTCTGTCACATGCAAAATATTCCATAATAAGAGAAACAAAAGGCCACGTATAATATTTAGCTTACGTATATAACATTAAATATAAAATATTTAATAAAATATTAAAAAAAAAACTACAGATTATAAAATCAAGTTGTCTTGAAACGTAAATTAATACAGAGTTAATAAAGCAGTAGGTAGGTACATCTGTATGAATTTACGTGTTATGAATCTGATGTGCGATGTTAGATGGTAATGTTAGCGTCTATACTGATATATAGCGTTAAATATATGAAGAGATAGATAAGGAGCAACATGCTTAGTGACAGTGGCACAGGCTCTACCAAGGGCAAGTTTAGTCGATGTCTTATGATTCGGAATTGAAACCTACCTGTGAACTCGTCCTCCCACTCTAAACCCGGGTTTAGATTGTACTCGTCTTGAAAAAGGGAGGAAAACAAAAACAATGTCAGTATCTTTCGACCATTAAAAATTATAAAATCAAACTATACATATAATAGCGAATCGATTGATAATTTACAGCATGATTCGTGACGCCATTTAATTTAACTGTAAGACTGTTTGGAAATATTTGTACAAGACGAATTATTCTAACATTAGGTAATTTTGGCCAATCAAATTATAAATTTTGGACATCGCCCCACAAAAATCTAAGTCTACTCAAAGAGTGGCGAATTATTAAAGGCACATTATAAGTGGCGCTATGGTATTAGATTGTTACTGCGTGAACGCGGTAAATAAGTTTGCAGGACCAGATCCAATTTTGACAAGCGGCCGGAGACCAGTCCTATAGTTCAATGAAATGGGTCTATTGTGTTAAGACCTGTGCAGTGTTTGTTAGTCGAATCGAAAGGGTAAGTGGGCGTGAGATGATATGGCGATCCTCATACCACCACCATAATTGATATACACATATTATAATGAATAAATTTTTATATTTTTATGTGCTAATATAATATTTGCGGCCTCGATAGTGGCTAGGAAGCCACGTGGAGAACTCTGGAAGGCCACATTTAAATACTTTTTTGGTAATGGAATGCATTTAACCACATCATACGGCGATGCATTAGTCCCGAGCGTTGCTTGACCCCTAGTCGTAGAGAATGCACCAGATTTCTAGATAATGATGACGCTCGAAAGGAAAATGTAAGATGTAATGAGTAATTATCGAGTAATCTGGTCGAACCGCATCTATGACATGTTAGTAGAAACTTCTAGAAGCGTGACAGAGAGGATACTCTATATATACAGATATAATGAACCTAATACAACCGACACCAAGTTATTGACCGAAGGTAAAGAGGGAGGTAATGTTAGATAGAGAACGATAGAAAGCGATCAGGAGGAATAACGACTTACCGTAGTAGTCAGTTGCGTGCGCTATATAAGGACAAAAATGAGAATAATCCGTCAGTTGTAATAAACATATTGTTTCCATAAATAAAATATTATCAATTTTTATACGAACATTGCAATTTCTGAAATTTTATTCACCGGTAACACCTTTACCATTATATCTTTCTTATATTACAATGTTGTAAAATTAAACAGATTTACTTTGGAAATAAAAATACTGTGAATAACCTTTCAGTATATTTCATAGGACAATTTAATTTCTAACAATAGCATTTTACCATATTGGATATTGTACTTAAATAAAAAAAAAATATATGGTATTCACAGTGCTCATATACCTAGTTGTTAATTGATAAAGCATGCGTCTCTTGTCTCATTGTCAGTTCTCGAAGTATCATGTAACATGCGGACACATTGTTTTTTTATTAATACTTTCATAGATTTACGCGAATATTTGACATTTTAAATAAAACTATCTTTTAGGATTATTTCGCGGATTTATTTTGATTTTTGGTTCCCGACGTTTCGAATGCTTTACAGCAATCATGGTCAAGGGAGAGACTTCTCAAAGGCGTTATATAGTTGTTACAGACAGTGCCTACCCACAATTTTACAAAAAAATGCAATTCATAAGCATTAGAAACGTCGAGAACCAAAAATCAAAATAAATCCGCGAAATAATCCGAAAAGATAGTTTTATTTAAAATATTTTTTTTGATGTTAATTTTTAAGTTATTATGTAAAGTCACATGTGTCATGCATCAAAATACGTGAATTGAATTAAATATATCACATACACATACATACACGCAATGTCAAAGGTCGTCGAGCTTAGGTAATATTTATTAATATACAGAGTTTTTAAAAAGTAAAAGACGGGCTTTGATATTTAAATTTTAACAAAATAGGAAATTAATGCTGCCTACATTAGAAAAAAAATGATGATTTAATAGCCCGTGATAAAATTACCGAATAATATTTTCAATATTACCAAAGTGGTAAAAAATCGTTATCAATATTACCAAAGTAATAATAATATAATAAAAACATGACCAAGCCCAACAGTGAGTAGTGTTAATAAATTTTGTTTACCTTTTCGCGGCCGCCACCAGTCCTCCATGTATCCTGCAAGCGGTGATGCATTGGAAGAGCAGCCTTTATATGGTAGCACAAACACAAACATTGCACCTAACTCAATACAGTATTTACTTTTGCGCTTCCTTTTTATAAGTATATTATTAATTATTATTTATTTGCATCAATTTTATAAGGTCACAGTATGGGATTTTTAAGAATTAATCATAAAAAATAAATTACCTTTTGGTAAACTATTAATATTAATTACCGTTTGGTAATACACTAATTAAAAAATTAAAATGTTTTGTTTTAGTAAAAATGGAGACTTACCTAAATATAAGTTAGTTTTTGCCTTAGTCTCGTTACAGATAGAAGCTTGAACTTATATATAGACATCTATCAGGCTTTTAAATGTTTTTTATTAATGATGAATAAAAATATGGTATTAATTTCCGTAAGTAGTGAAAGTTCTTTTGTCATTGGAACGATGTACCTTTTATGGTTAAGCATGATTAAAGTAAAAACTTTATGACAATAATAACAATTGTTTATAAATAATCCCAATTTGTGACAAATCTAAGCTCCCTTAAAACAACACATAAGTTGGGCATTTAAGATAGCATATTAAGCTAATGAAAATAAAATTTTGCGTGAAAATAAGTAGTCCGAATTTATAATTAAATAAAAGAATAATATTGTACATTCATTTAACAAAACCATCAACTACTAAACCCTAACATATGGTAAAAATGGCTACTCTTATAACACTAAATACTATTTTTTACCTTAAATTTCAAAAATAATAACATAAATTTTGCTGTAAAATACTTTGACTAATGATCAGGTCGATCTAATCACTGATAGAAATAAATTCAGACTACCGATTAGGCCACAACAAAAATGATGTGAGAAAAGTAAATACTGTTTCGTAACTACAGATGTCGTTGGTTATCACAGATGTGGTCTCATTTGCAAATATTTAATCTAAATACATATAGAAATGAATTTCCCCTATTGGAAGAACCAAACACAAAAAAAAAAAAACTAAAAATAAGCCAGAATTAAAAATACGACTGTACATAGTGGCATGAAAGAAATAATAACAATGAACTTGAAACTGAAACATAAGTTCGTCTAAGAATAAATTAGTCACATTTCTAAAGAAATATATTTGCAAATGACCATGTTAGAACCGTCACCCAGACATCACAGTTAAATTATCAATATATTAATAGATTATTGACACAAATTCCCAAATAACTTAAAAATAAGATAATAGGTTATGTTAAAATATATCATTTTTATGAAAATAATCAATATTAAGGAAATCATTAAGATTAAGTATTTGAGAATTTGAATGCCGACTCTGCAGTCAAATGAAATTTGACATTCAAGGGCAATTTATCACATACAAAACCATAAGTTTCTGAATCGCATGAATTAGATATTTTTAATTTAAAATGTCATGACTGCAATACAGATTTAATTACATTATTAACATTATGCCACAGGTAATTCCAAAACACAATAAAAAAATCACAATCAAATTTAAAAGATTAAATGCAAGATTAGATTAAAGTTAAACTTCAAACTTAGAATTTATATATAATTATTCAAACTCATATGCTTTGTTTCATAACTGTTAATAGTAAATGAAAATATAGGAGCAAATTCACTTTGACTTACCATCACGCAGCTCTGTCACTCCAGACGCTGTGGTTTGTGTTTGTTTGGCATATGTGACGTTTTCCTTTGGTGGAATGTCTGTAGATTGAACTGATACCACTTGCAACTGTGGAGGCTTCTTAGTACCTCTGTGAAGTAATATTAAATTAAATAAATAAAAAGTTATTAAAGTAAAAAAAATATAAGTTTTTTATTTCCTATTCCATTACTTTTTCCATTATGCATTTCCTATTTCCATTATGCACAAAAATATAATAAGAATGTTAAGAAAAAAAACAGACGAGCAGACAAAACCTATGAGTGATTGCTGACTCTATAATAGTTCCATTTGTTACAAGATCAAGGTCACCATAATAAAAGTAAAAAATCTCAATACCCATGAGAAGGTAGGCTGGATTTGTCTGTGTGTGGCAGACTGGCATCTGGTGACGCGGTCTGTGGTGGTGTTAGTGATGTCATTGATGACAATGATGAAAGAACATCTTTAACTGGAGCCACTCCTAAAGATGACAGCATCTCATCCAAATCCCTGCGGCTGTCAAGACTTGATGCTGTGCTTGCTCTTTGCTATGAGGACATATAAATAAAAAACTTTTACAAAAAAAAATGTATTTAAGAGTACCTAATATGAAAAATAATCAACTAACAAAATATGTATTTAATATTATCAGGACAACAAAATTATAACAGTTTATTTTTACCAATGCCTCCTCTGCATCTTTTTGCTCTTTCTCTCTCCGACGTCTATCTTTCTCTTCCCTCAGTGCCTGGAGCTTAGCTTTTTTGCGCTCCAGCTCTGCCTTTCTATCTGACATGCTAGACATGGCTGCTTCTAAAAAGTTATTATAGTATTGTATAGAAACCCTCATCAGGTAATTTCTAATCTAATTTAGTACATTATTGAAACTTTTATAAAACATATTACATACTATGGCTATCATACTTATGAAGAAATAAGTAATTAAATAAAATTTTAAGAAAGGAAAGTTTTAACATAACAGAAATGACAGAAAGATTTTATACATCCTAAATTCATAATACAAATACCTACTAATAATAATTCTGACACTGATATTCAGTTCAATCACATTATTTTAAATTAGAAATCGTAAAGTTTTGGATTGAATATTTGAACTTGCTCATAGGTCATGTACCTTCAGATTAAGACGGGGATACATTACAGGAAAATATTTAAGTTTTTGCGTGTTTATACTCTAAATTACTTCAAGTTAGTGTAAACAATCTATCTTATTATTATTTTTTCAATGTGCTAGCAATTCCTATATATTGATAACATATGATTTTATTTAATTTAATAAATAAAAACCTGTTTGTGCACCTATTAATGAAACTCTAATGCACTCATAATTTATTAATGTAGCTGTTTAACTAAGTAGCCCTCCATAGCCCTAATTTGAAACATACATATAATAAAACAGTAGAGGTTGAATGTTTGTACATCGAAAAAAAATGCTAAAAACCAGGTCCAGGGATGCAAGAAGGAAAATAGAATAAGTCCAGTTTTTTTTTTAATTTTTTGTTTCTGTCTATTTGTACGGGCTAATCTCCGAAACTGTTGGACTTATTTAAATGAAACTTTGCATGGTACCACACCTTATATCCCCGGTCAACGTTTACGATACTTTTCATCCCGGAAAATATAAAAGTTCCCGTGGGATAGTTAAAAAACTATAGTAACGTATACAGCTTAGTACACAAAAACTACTGATTGGATTTTAATGAAACTTTGCAATAATATAGTTCATACATCAGAATACCAAGTAGGTTACTTTTTATCCCGGAAAAATGTACGTTTTTGTTTGTCTAGAGCGAATCAAGGGGGAGCCAATATTATGTGAGTCTTGATATTTTTTTTATTATTATTTTATTTGAACTTTTGAAGTTTTAAAACTAATTTTAGATGTAGGATATATTTAGCTACTTGTTTTATCTGTAAAAACTTACTATATCTCAATTACAATATTTATAAGTTTTGGTTGACTATCTATAAATTTTAGGTGTCTGAGATCATTTGAATTGAAGTACTATGAGTCATAACAAGCTAATTAAACTTACCTTATTGCAAAGAGTAAAGAACCTTTAAAAATATATTACATCCCTTTGACAATGTTAAAAACAAAAATGCCGCAAGAACGTGGCAAAAATAAAATATTGATTTTTAATGCAGGTAACGGGAAAGTTATAAATTGCGGCCTTATAAGGGTACACCACACAGGTAATAGGTGATTATACTCAAGTTAACACTTTTACGGTTTGTAATAATAAGCTCATGAGAAAATTTTCAACTTTATTTAATTTTATACATTTAGAAAACTGATATTCTAACAAACAGAAATCTTTACCATTTACCAATTTATTATGTATCGTCAATGAGAAAATTCGTGAAACCAATGTTGCTAGATGTAAAATAATAAGTATACTACCAACATTATATTTAATATTTTATAGTACAACTACAAAGAAACATGAAATTAGAAAAAAATGACTATGCTGTATCATTTACAATTTAATGTTTTACATATAAAAATATGCGTGCAATCATGCAATGTGATCATTACAAATTATAATTAATGCTTAACGCGTTTGAAATTGTCAGAAATTAACTGTATAACAAAGATGAAACTAAAAGAACAATATAGGTACCTACAAAGAAATAAATTTATATGAAACAAAGGTTGGAAGGGGAAAACTTTTTATATAAATTTAACTACATGCTAATACTTCAATTTAAATAATTAGAAATATATTCAAAATATATTTTAGAACGAAAACATGTTTGTTCTATATTTCAAAAAAAAAAGTAAATGGGTACGCAATAGCTGTGGGCCAATCACATAAGTTTGAAATTCACTTATTTGACATAGAGAACGTACTTGGGTGTTGTCCGGCTTGACGAATGTCATAGTGTGACAACGCCGAATGTAATGATCAAACAGTTTTAATTTGATTTTGTGACTGACTTACCTAGTTTAAATTATATCATCAGAACAAATCAAGTATGAAATTATGATGAGCTGCTCAATATTATATTATCTTTTGTTACTTTTATGTAGCACAACAAATATTAATGCAGGTAAGTTGAATTTGAAATTAATTTTTATTGTAAACATTAACGACGTTATCTTATAACTGAATCTAAATTTTTGAATAATTTATTGGATGCACAATATAAACTTAACCTTAGCTCGTGTTGGTTATATCGTCTATGATTTTCAGATTCAGCAAGATATTATTACGACTATGAATGTAACGAGCCTCTAGTAGACAGTGCTCAACTTAGTGCAACCTCTAGTCTGAGAGAAAGAGGGCCCGATAATGCTAAGTTATATGGTAAGACTAAAGATATATCTATTTACTATTAGAAGTAATTGCTGACATAAATATATAAGAAATTGAAAGGTTATAATTTTGTTTTGCAAGTACTTCATATTTATGTTCTTTCAGTTTAATGTAGTGTGATTATATAGTTTTTAGGTTTTAAGGTAAATTTGAAGCGTTTTTTTATTTTCTATGTACATGTGCATGTCTGTATTTATTTGTCTTATTTACAAAATTATTTCTATCACTTTTTTGAAGTGTGGTTTATGATAGATAGCAAGTATATGTTAAATATATAATTAAGGAACCTTGAATTAGGATTCATTCTCAACAGGTTCACATTAATAGAATTAAATCAACCATAAGACAGAAAACAATCTTGGACAAAACTTTAGGGAAACACAATATTATGAATATGGAGAATTTAAATATCAGATGGGCATTTAATGCCAAAACGTGGAAACCAACCTTAGATCAGATAGTAGCTGCATCAAGCTACATACAGACTGAGGAAAAATTGAGAATCGCAAGATATGTCTTTCAAGATGATGCAAAATCTTCATTGATTGGACGACTTCTATTAAGAAAGTTTGCTCATATTTCAAACCTAATAAAATATGAGGATGTTCATTTTGGTCGTGATGGACATGGAAAGCCATATTTAATAGGTATTGGTGATAAATTTGTCAACTTTAATGTATCTCATCAAGGAGACTATGTAGTACTTGCCGGTAATACCAAAAAAAACCTTGGTATTGATGTAATGAAAATAGAGCCACCGGCTAATAAAAATATACAAGAGTTCTTCAGGATCATGAATAGACAATTTTCCTCATTTGAATGGGCAAAAATAAGAAGTTATTCCAGTGAATTAGAGCAAGTTGCAAGTTTTTATAGAATGTGGTGTTTAAAAGAAAGCTATGTTAAGAATATTGGTTTGGGAGTTACAATTCCTTTAGTAGACATAAGTTTTTGTGTTAAATCAGAATTGAAAGTTGGTGAGCTAGTGACAGACACTAAATTGTATGTTAAGAATGTACTTAAAGAAGATTGGATGTTTGAAGAGACCTTATTGGATGACAAACATGCTGTTGCTGTGGCAATACAAGTGGATAGCGATGAGAAGATTACTCCAGTGGAATATGCATTTTTAACATTTGACGATGTAGTAAAAGAAGCAAAGCCATTAAATGAGCGTGATATGGCTTTTGCAGAAAACTTTCTCATGAAAGAAAAAAAGAATTTCTAATATAATTTTAGTTTCTTATTTTTTTATGATTTTTATTTTTTATTTTAAGTGATTTTTTTTATATGAATATTGTTTATTTTATTTCAGTTATAAGATTAGTTATTTTGGAATTTCATTTCTATTCATCTATTTTGTTTCCTAGTTAAGAGTTAATTATGTTTGTGTTTTATTTAAGTTGCTATAGTTTTTATTTAGTAGTAAAATGTTTTATTGAAAAAAGGTGTTAGTTTACTTTGGGAAATATAAAACATGGGATTGTTGAATATTTTATTATTTAATATACTAACTGACTACCATCTACTAACAAGAAGAAAGTTGACACTTAAAAAAATAGAATTTTAAAATGAAAGGTTTGAACGCGTGGACGGCGTCTGAAAGTGATTTCGATCAACAACTTGTGATAGACCTCGGAAGTGTGAAGAATATAACCAGAGTAGCGACTCAGGGAAGGGCACATTCTCAAGAGTTTGTGCAGGAGTATCACATCAGCTATGGTACCAATGGACTTGACTATGTCCGATACAAAGCCCCTGGTGGTGAAGTTAAGGTAAATATAGAGAAAGATGGGCCGGGCCTATTAACAAAATATTACAACTAATTATTTAATATAGGCATGTTGTAGTTAGATGCTTTTCCTGCACTGCCACAGGGTTATAATATGTAGTGATTTATTTAGTTAATATATTTTGTATCTATGAAGTACATTATACATGTATTATATACATTTAATAGAAATGTCTATATAGCATCTCTACTGAGTTTTTATTATCTATACAATCTTTCATAATTTATATGACATCTTAGCTGGAATTTTCTAATAAAATGCTCCTACATTTTATATAAAAGTGCTTTACAGTTTACACTTACGGTGTCAATTACGTATATTAATTGTTCAGTCTGTAAGGTAAATAAAAGTTCCTTCACTAATTACGTAATAGCTACCAAATATTAAAAAAAATTAAATGGACAGATAAACAGACGGACAGACTTGCTAACTTTCACAGTATTTGTACATTAAAATCGGCTTCCCGAAACTTCCGGCTAAGATATCACCCACTTAACTAACCAAGCACTAACATTGGTGAAGGCACATCCGCTTGGACGGCCAAGGAGAGTTCCTACTACCAACATTTGACGATAAATCTTGGGAAACGTAAGGAACTTCGAGCTATAGCTACTAGAGGAAGATTCGCCACAGACGAGTATGTGACGGAGTACATGATACAGTATTCCGATGATGGTGAAAGTTGGAGGGCGGTGGCCGATACTGATGGATATACGCAGGTGATCTATGCTGTCATGGTTTTTGGGCACTTGCTAACTTTCGTTTTCCTTTTCTAATGTATATAAATATTTGTACGGTTGTGTATATGTTTATTTTCGACTTAAAAACTTGTACAATGTGCTAAGTCATTCAACATATAAATATTTGAAAGTTTGACTATATAAAAGTTTGGTTGATGAGTCGATCGTCATAAAAGATCTACTTGGTTTTGGGCAGTTATTTTTATAGATTACCAAATTTTAATTGGCTTTATTAGAGAAAATATTTCTTTTCGTAATAAAAACTACCGTTTGTTCGTTCGTATTATATTCTAGAATGCCAACAAACTCAATACCAAATATCAAATGAAGTTATTATTAAAGTAAAGAAAATAGTCAACAAAAACGTCACAGTAAATTTATAATGTGTCGAAGTTCAATTAATTTTTACCAGGTCAGATTTTAAGGTTTATATAAAAGTTTTCCAAAGTATATTGTAACTGATCCCGGTTCTAGATGTTCGAAGGCAATCATGATGGTAACACGGTGGTTAAAAACGAATTCGAAGTGCCCATCATTGCGCAGTACATACGGATCAACCCCATGAGGTGGCGAGACAAGATATCTATGAGGGTCGAAGTTTATGGATGTGATTATGGTATGTTTCATTGCAGTACATGAATTTTTATTGCCTTTTTGCCTCTTTAGGATGTTCCTATTTTTTTTTTGAGCGATTTGGGCCAACCTATGCACAGTGAGAGGACTCTGTGCTCGGATGCGTTACTAGGTGTCTTTTATTTTTATATAGTTATATGACTGCAGCTCCACCTTTGGGCATATTTTATTACTAACTAAAAAGATGTTACCCCTATACCCCTATATATCTGTGTGAATTTCATCTAAATACGTCCAGCTAAATCAGTGCAGTCAATTTAAGGTATGATTTTAGCAAAATCAAATTTATAACACTTGTTAAGCAAGTCTTGGTAATAGTACCGATTTCGGTATTCGAAATTAACTATTTATCCCTATATACGAAGATAGACTTCGGACCTTTGCAGAAATATGAATCTTTATACCCAATAATCTCGTACAGTTGCGGACACGCTTTACTTTAACGGCACATCGCTAGTGAAAGTGGATCTCCTAAGGGACCCAGTGTCAGCCTTACGTGAGACCGTCCGGTTCAGGTTCAAGACGAGCGCGGCGTCCGGCGCTCTGATGTACTCGCGCGGTACCCAGGGAGACTACATCGCCCTGCAGCTGCGGGACAATCGACTGGTGCTCAATGTCGACCTCGGTAAGTAATCACAAGAGTTGGTCTTATACTAGCATTTGCCCGCGGCTCTGTCTGATAGTAAACAACCAGTTATACCTACATGGAGTACTTTCTTAGGTTTATCCAAATATTGGATATTTTAAATGAAACAATCTTTTCGGATTGTGGCACGGTTTTATTTTGTAGTTTTGTAGCTTTACAGCGAATATGATTCGTGGTCTCTCCCGTTATCTTTTCATTTCATTGGGTATACTATAAAACAAGATAATATTTCATAATACTATTTCAAACAATAAAATTCGGTTTAGTTCATTGATTAAAAAAGTACTAGATACACAATTCCATGCAAAAGTTCTCTTAACACCTCCAGGTAAACAAAGAAATGAATTAAACTAAGAAATCTATTGTTAACTGTAACGCCGGCGTGTCCGCGGTCGTGACGGGATTAAAACTGTCTGTCCACCAATTGTGATTAGGTATTTATTTTAGTTTCCCCCCCAACGTGCGTTCACCTTGTCGTGGTGGGGGGGCTCAGTAGTGCCCGGCAACCCAACCGGGCGCGAAGCCAAGAAACGCACAGGGAGGTGGCCCACTTCGGTGGGCGGTGGAAGGTGGCCCTCTTTGGCGGGCAGTGCACCATGCGGGTTGCTCCTGGTACTTCTCTGATAGCAGAGTGGACTGTGGAGCAACCCCATGGTTTTTGTGGTCTGCTTCGGCAGACCTGCCGTCGGGGCGTCGTAGTTGAATGCGTAAGCGATCCTGCGACGCCCCCTTAAGACGGGGGAAGGTTTTGTTGGGTTTTAGTGGGTAGTACTGGCTTTGCCGGTGAGTCCCATACCTCGTGCGTAAATGCATTTCCCAACGTTAAAAAAAAAAAGGTTTATCCAAATATTGGATATTTTAAATGAAACAATCTTTTCGGATCGTGGCACGGTTTTATTTTGTAGTTTTGTAGCTTTACAGCGAATATGATTCGTGGTCTCTCCCGTTATCTTCTCATTTCATTGGGTATACTATAAAACAAGATAATATTTCATAATACTATTTCAAACAATAAAATTCGCTTTAGTTCATCGATTAAAAAAGTACTAGATACACAATTCCATGCAAAAGCTCTCTTATCACCATCAGGTAAATTTCTAAGAAATGAATTAAACTAAGAAATCTATTGTTAACTGTAACGCCGGCGTGTCCGCGGTCGTGGAGGGATTAAAACTGTCTGTCCACCAATTGTGTTTAGGTATTTATTTTAGTTGAAATAAATATACAACAATGTAAATTGAGCCTTAAATGCAATTCTTTTTTTTAATTAAAAGCGCACTCAAATGTTCAAATGAGCGCTCATTAGAGCGAGTACATTTTTGTCGCTTATTGTGTATCTAGTACTTTTTTGGTCGATGGCTTAGTTATTAAATATTGGCTTGATTGCAAGATAGAAAGGAAAAAAACAGCCTTTCAGGATATCTGCCAATTTTGGTGATATTACGTAACTCGTAAGCTGAGTTAGCCCATTGATTTACAAGGCGCCATTACGCTTGTGAGTCTTAACTACTTAGTCTCTAGGCGAAATTTTGGCAAAATGCCAGTATACTTTTGTTTTCTTTATTTGTGCCAAAATATTGGTGCGAAGATCAAGGGCTTGTATGATAAAGTTTTAGACGCCTTTATTAGAAACGAATACAATACATAATGAAATTGCTAAAATATGTATCTTATATTTTATCTGTAGTTCTTTTGTGTTCAAAATATAGGTGAAGCCAGTAAAAAAGATCTATAACTTTGATATCTTAATATATAAAAAAATAGTTTGCAAAGATGGTTGTTTTAAAAAAATATCAAGAAAATCATGTTAATGTTAATTATTCCATTTTTTGGGTAAAGTTTAACTGTTTATTATATACATCACTACATAGTAGAACCCGCGGCTTCGCTCGCGTTCAAAGTACAATAAAACAAATTCTTCTTTCCATTTACAATAATGTATGGAAGTCTGTCCAATTTGTTGACATTTATGATTACTGTTCTGGTCCGTTGGGTAGTAGCATGAAAATATATCACTACATAGTATGAAACAAAGTCGCTTCCCGCTGTCTATCTGTCCCTATGTATGCTTAGGTCTTTAAAACTACGCAACGGATTTTGATGCGGTTTTTTATAGATAAGAGTGATTCAAGAGGAAGATTTATATGTATAATACTTGCATATTATAGTACAGAAAAGCCGAGAAATTCAAAGATTTGTATTTTATACTAACAGTTAAATTCTATATAGTATAGTGCAATTAGTCTAAAAAACAGCCTAACCCCAACATCCAAAGTAAAAGTTTTCCTCGAGCTCCAATATTGTTATACGTATACATTCCACATATTATTTGGTAAAAAGATACACCATTTTGAGCTACGGGTTTGGGAGGAGGGAGGGGGTTATAAGTTGGTAAATTAGTAGTTTCCATCAGATTTTCTTAAAAAATTCAAAAATTATTCGGTTTAGCACAAAAAATGTCATATACAAAAATAATCTATAATAAATTGTGAACAAAAATGGTTACGTGCATAATCTTGTTAAAGTGAACGGTTCCAGAGTTACTGAGGATCTAAACGTAGCTATTTTTCGTATTTATTAGATTTTTTGGGATAAATTAGATATTATTAAGGAAACTTGAAACTTATATAATATATATTAACTTACACATATTCTTATTAAATGTTGAGGTTTGGGTCTAATTGCACCGTAATATATAGCCTTCCTCAATGTTTATTGGGCTATCTAAAAGGGCTATCTAATGCAAAAATAATTTTTCAAATCAGATTAGTAGTTCCTAAGATTAGCACGTTCAAACAAACAAACAAACTCTGCCTCTTTATAATATTAGTATAGAAGTATAGATAAGAATTTTAAAAAGGGTTTTCTAATAGAATATTAATTACATATGCATATTATAAAGCAAATTTGTTTTCATAATTACAATGTGTGCAGGCTCCGGAACATCGACATCGCTATCAGTGGGCAGCTTGTTAGACGACAATATATGGCACGACGTAGTGATCTCGAGGAACAGAAGGGATATCGTGTTCTCGGTAGATCGGGTCGTGGTTCTAGGACGGATTAAGGGAGAATTCTCTAGACTAAATCTGAATAGAGCTGTAAGTTACATTGTTTTTTTTTTAATATATATTATACGTTAAATATGTAAATATTTAAAAAAAATATGGCTCTGGTGATTTATTCTTACAAGAGATATTTTTTTGTATTTGAAATTTTTTTTTTTTGTTTTTCGATTCTTCATTAATATATTTTCATTTACATTGTGACTTTGATAATAATATTTTACAAGCAAAAATGAAATACGATATTTTATAATTTTCTTTAGTGATTAAAAACTGAAATAGTGTGATTAACTTTTTATTTGAAAATTAAATTTGATCTGAGATTTGATCGTATAGAGTTCTTGTTTTATAATGATTAAATTAATAGTTGATATTTTTTCTTCTAGTTATACATTGGCGGTGTCCCCAACGCGCAGGAAGGTTTGGTCGTGACTCAAAATTTTACAGGATGTGTTGAGAATATGTACTTGAATAATACTAATGTGATCCAGGACTTGAAGCAGGGCTATGAAACTGGGGAGGCCTTTAAATTCCAAAAAGTCAACACTTTATACTCATGTCCGGTTAGTTTGATACAATGCTGCTATAAAGATTACTATAATAATGACTTGCGCATTATTTTTAATTAAATTAGATCAAATTCTAAATATTTAACATAAATTGATGCGAAAACAATTCATTGATAGTGATTCTTACAAGTAAGTTTTATAATAATTTAAAAAATGATTTGTTATTAAATTATATAACAGAATGGGTATGAAAAGTATCATCAAAATCGGCTTAATATCGACGGAAATATTTAGCTGAATTGAGAACCTTCTTTTTTGTTCGTTTAAAATATGATTATATGATTGAAAACCACTCAAATTCTCTATATATCTATTTAAAAATTAATATACATTATTTTCTCAGGAACCACCGCTTGTGCCAATAACATTTTTGAAAGAAGGTTCTTATGCAAAATTAAGGGGTTATTCTGGTGGCAACACACTCAACATATCTTTAGAGTTCCGCACATATGAGCACCATGGCCTGTTGATATTCCATAAGTTCAAAACCGATGGATATGTCAAGGTAAGTCTTGTTATGTTTTTACCTTTAAATATTTAAATGTACGGTTTTAGCTTGCTTTATAACACTATCTCTCACTACAATAGGTTAGCTGGAAGAGATCTATTTTAGAGATAAGTCCATCTTTGCAAACAAAAATTGTATTTTAATTATTGTATTTATTTTTAAGTGAAATAAACAATAGTGTATTTCCTTAGATTTACGCGAATATTTGAAATTTTAAATAAAACTTTTTTTTCGAATGTTATCGGGAATTTGTTGTGATTTTTGGTTCTAGTCGTTTCTAATACTTTACAACAATAAGGAGAGAGAAGGTCACCTGTGACCATGATATCTGTGAAGCATTCGAAACGTCGGGGACTAAAAATCTAAAAGAAATCCGCAAAACAATCTGAAAAGATAGTTATTCTTTTGATAACCTTTTATTAATTTTTAACGTTAACATTGTTTTCGCCTTACATACTTCATCATGTCGCTTTGGCTGTCGGTGTGCGTGCGCATCGTAATAATTTTATTCTCATATTTTTTTCCAAACGTGCCAAGGGAAGTATAACTTCAAAAATAAATAAATAAAAACAATTCTGTAGGTTTTCCTAGAGGAAGGCAGAGTGAAAGTAGAACTGTTCACCGACAGCGGGTCCCCCAAGGTGAAGCTGGACAACTACGAGCAGGAGTACAACGACGGGCGCTGGCACGAGCTCGCGCTGACCATGGCGGCGGACGCGCTGGCGCTGGCGCTGGACCGCCGCGCCGTGCGCACCACCAAGCGCCTGCGCTTCCTCACCGGCGAGGTCTACTACATTGCAGGTGGGGGACGGGAGTGGGGAAATAGGGGGAGATGGGAGATGCCAGATTGCATTTTATTACACTTTAAACGACTTAAACTATTTTTCTTCTAATGATCGAGGCAGTATACTTAAATATATTCTATTAAAATTACACTTTGTATTCAACTAGCAGAACCCGCGGCTTCGCTCGCGCTAAAACTACAAAAAAATCTGTATAAAAAGTAGGTTTCAGCCCCTTATTTTACCCCCTTATAGGATGAATTTCGAAAAATGCTTAAACACGTATTTATTTAATTATATTGAAGAGCATTAATACCATGTTTCAAGTAATTCTGTTCATAAATATTTTTTTGGTTTGTATTATTATAACGTGTATAAAAAAATAAAAAGAAATAAAAAGTAGCCTATGTCACGCTCCAGCTCTTCAACTGTCTCCAAACCAAAAATCATGCTGTTTCAATCTGTCACTCTGTTTCGACGTGAAAGAAAAACAAACAAACACACTTTCACATTTATAATATCAGTATGGACTAGCGACTCATCCTCAATACAAACTTTCATCCCCATTTTCACCCCCTTAAGGGATGATTTCTGGGATAAAATGTATCCTATGTCCTTCCTAGGTCTCAAACTATCTTCTTACCAAATTTCATCTAAATTGGTTCAGTAGATCCAGAAATTTTCCCCTACAAACTCACAAATTCACAAACTTTACCTCTTTATAATATAGTATAGATAAACATATTATGTATATAGTAACATGTAAAATTTAGTAATCTTTTATTTTTATTTAAAAAATATCCTACTTTTCCCTTATTATTTATTTAACTCTACTCTCTGTTTTTTATGTATCCAAATATTCATGATTGGTCATCCCCAGGCGGCAAGGCGCCCCCGCGCGGGTTCATCGGGTGCATGCGCAAGATCGCGGTGGACGGCAACTACCGGCTGCCCACCGACTGGAAGAAGGAGGAGTACTGCTGTCCCAACGAGGTCGTCTTCGACGCCTGCCACATGATCGATAGGTCAGTCTTGGAAATGTTATTTATATTCATTTATACTCATTTATTATTCTATGGCTGAATGACTTGATTTTACCGACCACGCTTATTATTTGAAAAACTAAAATCGCGTTTGTATATCGCCATGAGGTGTGAAGTGAACTGATTGTACACAGATGATATATTTGTAAGGTAACAATACAATACGATTTCTTTACAATCGATTTACGTTTTATAAGTTGTAAATAAAAATGTCCAATAAACTATAATTTTGATGTATTTTTTTTCATTAGTGATGTAATATATGTGTGTATGTATGTGTTGTGCAGATGCAACCCCAACCCGTGCGAACACGGCGGCGTGTGCGAGCAGAGCGCGGAGGAGTTCAACTGCGATTGCACCGGCACGGGCTACGCGGGCGCCGTCTGCCATACATGTAACACTATTTTAGCTTTTACTTCTTTTTTTTTAAATTGGGAAATGCATTTACGCGTAACACCTGCGTATAGGTGGTTACGTGGAACTCGCCGGGTAGAAAAGCTAAGTATTACCCACTGAAACCCAACGCAACCATCCTCATCTTGGTAGGGCGTCGAAGGATTGCTTCGATTTATAATAATAAGTATACACATAGATCAATCAAGTTTCCACTAATACAAATAAGAAGAAGCACATAAAATAAAATCTCTACAAAACCTCGAAAAGATAGTCCTATTTAGAAATGAAAATGAAGCGGTGTTTAATATGTAATGTGTGTCGCGTGTTGCGTGTTGCAGCGGTGCACCCGGTGTCGTGCACGGCGCACCAGCAGGCGGGCGCGGGCGGGCGCGCCGCCGCCGTGCTGCTCGACGTGGACGGCTCGGGCCCGCTGCCGCCCTTCCCCGCCACCTGCCACTTCTACTGTGAGTTGCTTGCTACTTTAGTGTTATTGTGCTCTTCATTGATTGTACGATCATCATAAGCATCAGGCAATGTACATTGGAAATCATTGCAAAAAGGTCTGCACAGAGTGCACAAAATTTTTTTTACAACATACACAGCTCAACACATATTTTTTTTAATCACAAATACAAATAGTGGATACTATTATAGTGCGCCATAAACCTTAATGGAATGTCTATTATGTGTGTAGGGCGGCGTCATAAGAGTTCATACAAACTACTCCTTAACACGTATGCTTGTCTGGTAATTATGATCACGTCCGACGGGGTGCTCTTAGTAAATAATAAAAAGTGTCGTGACGGTCGAAATTGTTACGCTTTTTTTCGCTCAGCTCTCATTCGCAAAGCCAAGTATATGATGTTTTATCACGATATCGGTGCATTCGCAGCGGACGGGCGTATAATCACGGCGGTGCAGCACTCGGCGATGGCGAGCACGACGGTGGACGGCTACCAGGAGGCGGGCAGCTTCCGCCAGGACGTGACGTACGACGCGTCGCGCGCGCAGCTCGAGGCGCTGCTCAACCGCAGCCGCGCCTGCTCGCAGCGCCTCGAGTACATGTGTCGACACTCGCGACTCATGAACTCGAGGAGTATGTATATTGTATATTATATAATCTATATATTAATACGCGTATCCGCTCGCGTATTTTATTTATATATAATTACTTCACTGATAAAAGATGCAGCGTGATGTTAGATAACCTTTATCAATATTATATGAGTACTTACATAATATAAAGATGAAAAGTTTTTTTGTACGTGCAAATCAATCTATGGGCCCGTTCAAAATTCTTATGGTTTTTATAGGCCATCTATACTATTTTGAAAAAAGAACCTCAATATCGATCAAACTAAATGAATTATGGTTGACTTTTAACCATGGAACTATCACTAGTATTGATTAATTTTACATAATCAGCTGTAAAAGTCTATGTTGTTGTACTTTGGGTGTACAGATACGAGTCTTTAACTTTCTTATATTTGATTAAAATACCTAATTAAATTAGATTTATGACATTGTTCATTAGACAACATAAAAATTACATCAAATATTAAAAATATTGTTTACAAAAAATAAGTTGACTATATGAAATAATCATTAATGGAATATTAGTTGTCGTATAGTCGTTTTTTTTTAAATGTAACAAGAAAATAAATATTATGAATTAAAAAAAAATTAACACAGCCATGTTTAATAAGACTACCTATAAAAGAATATCAATCAAAATTAGATTTTTTTTATCCTTGACATACAAGTATTTTCCTAGTGAAGACATATATATTGCCCGCTGACATCTTCTTCCACATCCAGGGGTCGACTGGAAGAGATCTCTTTTAGAGATGAGTCCACCTTTGTGAACTATGTTTATTTTTTCTGTATCACATTTTAAGTGCAATGAAAATTTAATAAACAATGTGATTCCAGGCGAGGAGTCGGACTTCCACCCGTTCGCGTGGTGGGTGTCGCGCAGCGGGCAGCGCATGGACTACTGGGCGGGCGCGCCGCCCGGCAGCCGCATGTGCGCGTGCGGCGTGGCGGGCAGCTGCCTCGACCCCACCAAGTGGTGCAACTGCGACGCCGAGCACGGCCCGCTCTCCACCGACGGTGGGTGCCTGGTGTCGCCTACTTACAGTGCTAGCGGTCGCGGGTTCGAGTCCCGCTGTGCCGCTAACTTTAGCCTCGTAGCTTACCATGGAACTACATAGATGGTGCTGTGTGTTAATGTGCCAACATGTTTATTTATTTACTTAATTAATGTCTGTTTTCCATGAAAGTATACAAATCACAGGGATAAGTAGACGAGATTTTCAAATGTCTAAAACCTTATTGTCTTCCGTGACTATGATTGCTGTAAAGCATTCAAAACATCCATAAACAAAAATCAAAATAAATCTGCCAATCTGCCATCAAATGTCACAATTTGGCTTTGAATTTTGATAAAATTAAATCAGAAATATTCTTAAACTATAACATAAGGAAAACAGGTGATGTCTACTAATATTTTTTTTTGTATTATGAATTCCTTCTATTTTATTGATATTTTACAGAATTCCAAGTGGATGGTGGTGAAATAACGGAGAAGGAATACTTGCCGGTAAAGCAACTACGATTTGGCGACACCGGCAGTCATCTCGACGAGAAGGAAGGCCGCTATACACTTGGGCCTCTGATGTGTGAAGGAGATGGTATGATATGGCAGCCAACCAATAGATAATCGCCTTTGAAATTAATGGAGATCTTGTTGAATGTATACTCCCAGACGGCTTATTTTTTTACGACACCTCTAACAAATATCGTTATATTTTAGCCAATGTATACAAAAACTTAACAAATTATATACAAAAACTTTCTCGAGACACCCTATCCATTGGTGAAAACAGTATGACAATTGGTGCAGTAGTTTTTGAGTTTATCGCGAACAGACAGACGCGGCGGAGGACTTTGTTTTATAATATGCTGTGATAATTAAAGCTATATATAATTTAATGTAGATCTGTTCAACAACGCGGTGACGTTCCGCGTGGCGGACGCGGTGATCTCGCTGCCCACCTTCGACCTCGGCCACAGCGGCGACATATACTTCGAGTTCAAGACCACCAAGGAGAACGCTGTGCTGTTGCACTCAAGGGTTATATAATGATTTAATTCTTTTTATAAAACCATAAAGTATTTATTATATAACTGAAAATAATTTTGATATAATTATTTCTTAAGTTAATAATAAATATTAACACAAAAATGAAAGTGGCAAAAAAATATATTGTATGTATAAGACTTTTTCTATAAAGACGATAATACTATTTGGAAAAGTTACTCTGGTGAACTAAGAAGAGTTTAAAACAATAATGTAAATTTATAACTTATGTAACTATATTTCTTACTTTTATTTGTTTATTTCTTTCTTATAGGGTCCACAAGATTACATAAAGCTATCGATAATCGGGGGCAAACAACTTCAGTTCCAATTCCAAGTGGGGGACACTCCGTTGGGTGTGTCAGTGGAAACTAGCAACCGTCTCGCTGATAATAACTGGCACTCTGTTTCTATTGAAAGAAATCGGTAAATATTATTATACTATCTTCTGACTCTCGATTTTTTCCTCGGTCTCTTCGGGTCTATGACTGACATTTTTTTTACATTTTCATCAAGACAAATTATTCAAAAATAAAAAATAATATTTCTTAAATATTTGTTAAAAGAATCAATTTTAAAAAGCAATAACTATGCAAAATTTTGTTAATTTGGTTTTGTCTTATTGTATGTATACACAGTTGCATACTAGCAGAGCCCAATGTTAACTTGTAAAGCCAAGTGAAGTAATACGTAATTTGAAATACGTGTACCGTCGAACCGTCGACGCATCGTCGACCGGTTCATTGAACTGGTCCGTTCATTCGATGCCCATCACTAGATTGATCTGCCTCGAGCACGGCGCGGCGATCACGTCATCAATCGATCGATTGAACGGGTAGTATGAACCGGGTCCAGATCTTTTAAATTGAATGATTGACACATATTTAGTGCTGTGTATTAAGGTCCCAGCATATATTAATTTATTTTTATTTGTATTGTTTGTATCATGTGTGTTATCAGAAAAGAGGCGCGCGTGGTGGTGGACGGCGCGCTGAAGAACCAGATCCGCACGGCGAAGGAGCCGGTGCGCGCGCTGCAGCTCAGCACGGCGCTGGTGCTGGGCGCCGCGCTCGACCGCAAGGACGGCTTCGTGGGCTGCATCCGCGCCCTGCTGCTGGACGGCGCCGCCGTCGACCTGCGCCAGTATGCCAGGCGTGGTATGTGCTCTTGTACTGTGTACTCATCGGCCTTTATGAACTCTAGTACCCAAAAAATATAAAAACTACACTGTCACTATATTATCCATTCAACCGTTCCTCTCTGGACAGATATTTTTTTTGTCGAACTGGTAGTAGACTTATGACGTCTAATCATCGATCAAAAAAGTACTAGATACATAATTAGCGACAAAAAATGCCCTTACCGAATGAGCGCTCATTTGAATATTTGAGCGCGCTTATTTTTTCGTGAACACAACATTTGCATTTAAGTTGTTTAATTTACATTGTTGTATATTTATTACAACTAGAATAATTACGTAAACACGATTGGTGAAAGTTTTAAGAGAACTTTTGCATGGGATTGTGTATCTAGTACTTTAAATTGTAAAAAAAAATAATGATAAATAAAAATGTTTGAATTTGTATCGAAGAGTGTGTATAAGCGGCGGTGTATGTACCGGCAGGTATGTACGGCGTGTCGGAGGGCTGCGTGGGCAAGTGCGAGTCGGCGCCGTGCCTCAACAACGGCACGTGCCTGGAGGGCTACGACTCCTACTCCTGCGACTGTCGCTGGACCGCCTTCAAGGGGCCCATCTGTGCTGATGGTATGTACATTATAAATAAACAACCTAAATGGTCTAGTGGCTACCACGTACGGCCGCAGCTTCGGAGTTCGTAGGTTCAAATCCCGGGTTGGGCCTATTTCAGCCATTGAGTATTTCTGTCAAGAAATTCTCAGTAACAGCTCGGAGTTGAGGAGTTGGTGGTGTTTCAACACCGTCCCTCATATTTCTCATTTTTAATTCTCACCACGAGTTTTGTAGTTTCAGTAAGATTGGCTGTAATGGGCGAAATCGGTCAGAAGGATTTTATATTGTCATTATTATTTTTATTATAAATAAGATTAGTCTTGATATCTTTATAGACAGATTTATTGGAATAAAGTTTTTATCTGTTTTTTTTAGTCTTATTTGAATAAGACCTAAACGGGAAAGCGAGCGAGCACGTATAATTAGGGGCGTGTACTTTATTTTTACTATATACTCTTGTGATAGATGGTTTAAAATTTAAATATTATATCTTTTCGAATTTTTTTGCGGATTTATTTTGATTTTTGGTTCCCGATATTTGGAATGCTTGACGCTTTCACAGCGAGGATGCTTGCTGTAAAGCAGTGTTGGGAGTTTTATTTAAAATTTCAACTATTTATCGTATGTTTACATACACATACTATAGACATAACGAATGTGTAATAAAAAAAATGGTTAATACGCAGAAATCGGCGTGAACCTCCGCCCCAACTCGATGGTGAAGTACGACTTCCTGGGCTCGTGGCGCTCCACCATCAACGAGAAGATCCGCGTGGGTTTCACCACCACGCACCCCAAGGGCTTCCTGCTCGGCTTCTACTCCAACATATCCGGCGAGTACTTGACGCTCATGGTCTCTAATTCAGGTCAGTATATCACTGTCATATATGACATTAAATAATGTATTAGAATATATATTTTTTATAATTACATTTATTTTGCTTTATAGTCATAGTTTTTTGTATCGTAAGGAGCTTTTTAAAAGTTTATATGTATATATACTTTTCTAAAAAATATCCTCTTCTTTCTTACTACGTACTATTTCCTTCACCTAAAGGTTGCCTGGAAGAAATCGCTCTTTTAGCAATAAGGCCGCCTCTTATAAATTTTCCTATATTCTGTACATTTTCTTTTCTTTGGGCGTTTAAAATAAAGGCTATTATATATATATATATATATATATATATATATATATATATATATATATATATATATATACATACTTGAGGTATTATTAATTGAACCTATTTAAAGTGAAAGTCATGAAAATCTATTTATGATTAACTGAGATATCGCGTACCATACGCGCAAAAGAACATACACCCAAATTAGGTACCTCCTTTTTTGAAGTCAGTCAAAATTATAATTTCGCCTATCGAAAAATAACCTCAAGTACACAACACTACCATATTTGAGTAATTTAAAATCGTCAAGTTGTCAAGCAAATTGCATAAAGTATGTAAAATGAAATGGAGGTTTTCATTATTTTAAATATTATAAAAGTAAATTAACTTTTTAAAATTGATATAATAATGGAATTGATTCTTGTTTTCATTATTGACTAATTATTATTATCTGACCGACACCTTTGGCTCAGTTTGTAGTGACCGTTCTTGCTGTGTGAGCGATCGCGGGTTCGTGTCCTGCTGGAGGCATTCATTTGTGTGATGAGCACGAATGTTTGTTCTCCAGTCAATGTTTTTTATATTTTTAACTAGCGACTCACCCTCGCTCCGCTCAGGTTCGTCCCTACTTACGTTTTAAGGTTTAGTATAGATTTCTCAGAAATGAAATATTTTCTCGCATTAAAAAGTATCCTATATGGTGACCCAGATAACCAGCTATCATCATACCAATTTTCATCAAAATCCGTCCAGTGGTTTTTCCGTGATGCGGTAACAGACAGACAGATAAAAATTCTAAAAACGATAGATTCGGCCTCTGTATCGATAACAATGTCTATTTCAATAAGATTTTCCAAAAAATATTTCATGTACAGATTCGGGTCATTTAGAATTTTATTATATGTATAGATATGTATGTATTTAAAGTTATATATGTGTAGTGTATCAACTACCTAGTGTCCATAACGCGACCCGCAGCTTACCATGGAACTAGATGGTATTGTGTGTTAATATCCCAACATATTTATATTTATTATTCTTCTTAGGTTCCCTTCGTGTTGTTTTCGACTTTGGCTTCGAGCGACAGGAGATAATCTTCCAAGGGAAGCATTTCGGCCTCGGACAGTACCACGACGTCAGATTGTCGAGGAAGAACAGCGGCGCCACCATGGTGTTGCAGGTCAGATGCTTACTGTGTTGATTTACTTTGTATACTCGTACATTGATTGGAATGAACCTGTCAAAATAACTTTTTAGCTTAAAAACTTAATATTTTTTATTATTTTAGCAGTAATAACCAAGGTAGGATTTAAAATAGAACAATATGAAAATGAATATTTGTTATGTTCACAATGAATATTGTGATATACGCGTATTAAGTTATGTTTTTTAAAATTAACAACAACTCAACTCGACTTACAATAATTACTCAGTCGCATGATAAAAGTCGTCCATTTTTCCGTTTAACTAGAGGTACTATAATTAGGATTTTTTTTATTATTTTATTGAATACCTTACATAACTGAAGCGATCCGGTGAATCCATGACTGTATATAGCGTAGTAAAGGATTTAAAATATGTAAGAGAAGCTAACCAGTAACCGTGTATCAGGCGGACAACTACGAGACGCAAGAGTACCACTTCAACATCCGCGAGTCGGCGGACGCGCAGTTCAACAACATCCAGTACATGTACCTCGGCCGCAACGAGTCCATGGCCGAGGGCTTCGCGGGCTGCGTCAGCCGCGTCGAGTTCGACGACATCTACCCGCTCAAGCTGCTCTTCCAGCAGGACCCGCCGCCCAACGTGCGCTCCATCGGAGGTACGCGCCGCCCTACCAGAATCCATCCAGCTGTTACAAATATTCATATTTATAACAGTGATGCAATAATACCGAATAGTTTTAAAACTTTCGAAGCATGCGAAATCTTGGTGCTAATATAATTTGATGCGATTGATCAATGATGGAACTAGGATATGGATAATGTAAATATATTATTATTTATCAATAAAATAATTTATTAAATTCAAAATTAAAATAACAAAATATCTATACGGATGAACAAAATTAAAGCGTCTGTTTGTAATGTCAAAATAACAGCGTTTTACTGATTGTATTTGAAATTATATACGGTACTTATAAGAAAAACAATTTTTTTTTTATTTTTGACTGTCTGTCTGTTTGTTCCGGCTAATTTCTGAAATGGCCTAATCGATTTTGATAGGACTTTCACTGGAAGATATCTGATGTTATAAGGAGTAACATAGGCTACTTTTATTTTAGAAAAAGATTTAAGGTTCCGCTCAAAAAATTAAAACGCACCTAGGGATGAACCCGAGCAAAGCGAGGATGAGTCGCTAGTATGTATTAAAAGCTAATAATGCCACAAACGTCGTGTGCAGGCGTGCTGCACGAGGACTTCTGCGGCGTGGAGCCGGTGACGCACCCGCCGGAGCGCGCGGAGACGCGGCCGCCGCCGCCCGCCGACCTGGGCGCCGACCTCGACCACCACCGCGCCGACGAGGCCATACTCGGCAGTGAGTACGCTCCTGTGCGCTTATTATTATTATTGCCTTCTTAGATCGAAATAATAATGCCCTCCCGATCAATTTTGGCCACGATCTATTTATTAGACTAGTAGGTATATGTTGTCTTGTTTTGTCGATGTTTCTTTTTTTTTGTTCTTGTATTCATTATACAAGAATAAAAAAAAAGAAACATTGTCATTTGCGAAATAAATATACATGTTATATAACCATATGAATATTTACAGCGGTATTGGCCTTCATCTTCCTGCTGCTGATCGTCGTGGCTATCGTGCTTGTACGAGCTCTCTCAAGGCATAAGGGAGAATACCTCACTCAGGTAATTTTATTATTATTTTGTATTGTTTATTATATAGTGTGCTTTCAGTTAAGATAAAGCGCGACTTGGAAGATACTTAGAAGAAATTGTAAAACAAAAGAGCACTATATATTTTTTGTTGTTAGGATATTTTATAGATAGAATAGTAATTGTTTATAAAAAAATATTTTTAACTCTGCAAGTGTATTTTAATTTTTGATTATATTCCCTCGTAACAACATTGCTGTAAGACATTCGAAACGTCCTGGACCAAAAATCTAAATAAATCCGCGAAAAAAATCCGAAAAGATAGGTTTATTTTAAAATTATCTGACTCGACTGGATTCGTTCTGTCAAATCAAGCGTGTATCAGGCCCGACTAGAAAAATGTTTTTTTTTTTACGTTTTCCTGACAATTTCTTATTCTTCATTAAAAACCTTTCTCGGACTTCAACGAATATTTGAATTAAAAAAACCGAATTAGTCCCAATTGTTCTCGAGCTTTGCGCCTAGCAACACATTTAGCGATTTGTTTTTATTTATATACAATAAAGATCGCTATAGATGTTAAATATTCGCGTAAATCTAAGAAAGTGTTATCCTATAGCAAGTGTATAAATAAATAAAACAAATTCGTATATATAACACAGGAGGAGCGAGGCGCAGACGGCGCCGCCGACCCCGACGCGGCGGCGCTGGCGGCCGCCACCGGCGCGCGCGTCACAAAGCGACGCGAGTTCTTCATATAGACACGGCACTCCTGCACGCACATGCTGCCCTGGTAGCTACACCACCGTCTCATACAGATAACATACAAACAACATCCGCCATTTTTATGGCTGTCAGAGGTGAAGACAATTCATAATAATAAAAAAGTCATCTGTTATCGCAACTCTATGCCTCTAAAGAAAAAAAAAACAAAAAGAAAATCATAAAAAATAATATGCGCGCATCTCTAGATGCCTGATAGTCGCCATATGTTTTTTTGGTGTTGCTATAAAGTATCACTTCCACCATTTCTCGTGGTATTGTGATCGCCGCATCTTAAACTAGAGAAACTTATAAAATCCTGCCGCTGTGTTAGGTGTACACTCCATAATTTCACCTGGGCCTATGAGGTTAACACTCCCCTCAGAAGATGTAGCGGTGTTTCATCATCGCGATATGTTATTCCAAGTCATAGCCTATATTATTTATTCGATACACCCTCATTTTTAGTCGTCATTTATATGAATGGAGTTTAACATATTTTATATATTAAACACGAGATCTTGGCGTATTAAGAAGAGGTCATATTTACCTTAGAAGGGACGAATCCCTTGCCAGCCCTCACACTATCTTTAAACAATATAAATAATCACTTCAATAAAAGATTTTTAACTTTTTATACGAATGCAATTTTTTAAAGTACATAAATTGTATTAAAGTTTGACCATAACTACACACTGACAGCCTTAAAGATGAGCATATAATATTACATTTAGATAATCGTCACAAACTGTCTCTCCAGCATTCGACTTGCGAGATGCAAAAATTTTATTTTGTTAGTGAGTATAACACGCATAAAGATATGTTTTTTTTTAATAATTTGTTATCTCACGTTAAAAGCGGTGATATAACGGTCAAATGTGGCCCCTTACTCTATCAATAGGCAAGTTACTTTTATCTATCAACTTTTACTTATTTGTTATAGAGAATCTCTTAGTGGGTCTGAATAACACTTATTATACATCTATCTGTACATTTATACCTATGATTATATTATATTTTAATTCATAATATACGATTTTCCAATACAAATATTTGTTTGAAGAAGAAATAAAACTTTAGTAATTTAATTTTAATATCGTATTAATATTTAGAACGGGACTATTCGCCCGATCTACAGGCCTATGGGTTTTTTTTCCCGTAGCGGATTCGTGGATCGATTTTTTTTAGTTCAAGCTATCAGATCCATGGGAAAATTTCCCGTTCTTATAATTTTCCAAAAGCTTGAACTAAACCTAGTCGATCCACAGGTCAGCTACGGGAAAGCTTTCCGTTGAGCCGCATGTAGACCTTGTGAATAGTCACTTCGTAATATTTAAATAGCTTCTTCTCATAGATTTTCTAAAACATTAATCATTTCACAATACTATTTCTCCCATAAAGTGCCATTTTGGCTACTGTTATAATCTGTAACTAATGAATCTCTTCAAATGTTGCCAGGCTATAACGATTTTTAAAAATAATAATTCATCGAATATCCTCGCAACACATCTTTTGCTATTCAATACTTATTCGCTTTTAGAGCACTTAAAATTCTAGTTTTATGCAAATGAAAATATTGTAATTTGAGAAAAAGTATTTATAAGGAATATGACGCACGATTGAAGCACATTGTTGAGGTTGAAAGATATACATAATTTTGATAAACTACATGTAATGGTAGGTTTTTATATAATTATTTAAACGGTACATTTATACAGCAATTGTTTTTATGAGCTGGTATTTATTATATATGTATATGTATATATATATATATATATATATATATATATATATATATAATATAATATAATATATATATAATATAATATATATATATATATATATATATATATATATATATATATATATATATATATATATATATATATATATATATATATATATATATAATATTTCTACCGAAACTTAAATGAGATTTTCGAGCCAAAATACTTCTTTTTTCCTCATTTTACACAATATTATACATAGTTTGATTGATTGAATGTTCTTTTCAATGTTTTGGTTTGATGCAATACTTGTTTATTATCTAATATAAATGTAAAAACTTGATTTTTTTTTTAAATGAATTATGTATTAGGTTAATTTAAAAAAAAATATGCCAGTGGATTTTTTATCATGGAACTGAGTTTTAATACAATTTGTATGAATATTTCGGTAATAATGTGTTCTTAGAATAATTTTTTAACTACATTACAAGCATAAATTTTTTCATATAATTTCTCATTTTCATTATTAATCGTCTTAAATTCATATTGCAACAATATAAAATGAAGAATTATTTAATGTGGAATTGCAAAATGAATAGTCTTGCATGAGATATTATATGAAGCTTTGAGTATTCATTGGTTCACTTTAGATCATTCCTTACCAAAAAAATCTCACTCGACTAACTCAGACGTCACAGGTAATATTCCTTGTGGAAATCCAATATGGAGATTTGAATTAAAAGAAGAGACGACAGAAATGGTATTCTATTTATATGCTATTTTCAGAAGTAACTTAGCTTCAGTTATTTTTTAACATGCGCTCTGTCTTAATATTTTAGTATGAATATGGAATAAACAGTTCACAATTTCTACTTCAAGCCTTTCCGTACAATAATAAGGTAAAATTAATATATCCAAGTATATATTGTAATGAAAGATACAAATTAGATGTAAGTTTAGCGTAGGCTTATATTTTTGGTATTCTTTGAATCTCCTTATTTTTTAAGACAATTTGGTTTCTTATCTCTTTAACTACATATATATTTGGTTTTGTCTATTTTTTGCGAAAGATTGTTTTTTTCTTGTTGTTGTACCCACTAATTTTTATACATTTATACACTTGAAGTGGATATAATATTGCTAATCTAAACTTCTTAGAGATTTCCAGTTCTTAAAATTAAATATGTACCAGAAGTACACCAACAAACCAATTTTGTTATTTGTTGTTTATGAAAGTTTCATCTACTTAAGTTTCTTTAAACATGACGTATTGAAACGTATTAAAAATCAAATAATTATAGGTTATGATATGAAAAATATAATAATATTCTTTAATTTTGTTTATTCAATCCGAATGTATATGTAGTTGTAAGAAGTTGAGCTTTTTATTTTCCGTCCAAAAGTGTACATTCTTGAGTTAAGCCCAGCATATTGTTAGGACATTGAATTGACCATCTTTTAAGTTTATGTAATGTTTAAATAGTCATTAACTGAAAATTTCAAGTTAAACCGAACTTGTGGGAAGATTGTGTTTGAAAATTTTTAGTATCATTTGAGAAATATTGTTTGTAAATTACACGTCTTTTTCAAGTACATTGTTTTTTAATATACTCTTGAAGTTACTTAATTTCATAGATTAAAAAAGTACTAGATACACAGTCAGCGACAAAAATTGTTCTCACCGAATGACCGCTCACTTGAACATGTGCGCGCTTTTAATTTAATTTTTTTTTATGAAAACCAACTTTATGCATTGAATTTAACGTTCAATTTACATTGTTGTATATTTATTTCAACTGGAATAATTATGTAAATACGTTTGGTGACAGTTTTAAGAGAACTTTTGCTTGGGATTATGTATCTAGTACTTTTAGATCGATGCTTAATTTGATCTATTATTTTCAGAGAATGGTATATATAATTGTAATATTTAAAATTATTGTCCTAACGTAATATGTTTATTTTTATTTGAATTTGTATGTGACAAGCGTGCAGTTAGACGTAGGGATTTTTAGTGACTATCTATGGGAAATGCTCCTGTGACACCGGCCTTTGAACACATATGTATAGTGTATACTGTTCATTTTATTTTATTATGTCCAAGTACACTGAAGTGATAGTAGCGGGTTCTATTATCGCACGAGTTTTATTAGCTTCCTTCAAAGGGATTTTTTTTTGAGTAACAAAGAATTTTCCGCGCCCATTTTATTACAGTATTTTATGGGAAAGTTCATTAATGAGAAATATATAAGGTTAATTGATGATAACGAATATAACATTTATCATTCAAATGTCTTCTTTGAACGAAGTTAATGAATGGCACCATATTGTCTAAAATGATTTTTTTTGCAAAACTATAATACACATGCACAATAATTTACATTTTTTATATAAATAAGCAAGTTTTATAAGCAAGAAATTTTTTGTACCTTTTATACTAATGTCACTGGAAACGTATAATGTAAATAGTATAGGCTCTGTACACACGAAAGAGTGCTGTGTGATTGGTACATCTACATACATATATAACTATAGCCGTTAACGGAATATTTGGAAATTCATATATAATATTTAGTTACGTTAATCAGTAGATATACATATAAATAACACTAGTTCCTCATGCAAAGACTAACCCGTATAAAAAATTGATGAAACATAGTATTTCTAATTTTTCCGTGAACGGTTTTTGTTATAATCATCGGTCAAAAAAGTGCACAAGTATAAGTATAGGTAAGTATACACAATCAGCGACATAAAATATCCTCACTGAATGAGCTCTCATTTGAACATTGAGCGCGCTTTTATTTTTTTTTGTGAAAACAACTTTAAACATTGCATTTAAGGTTCAATTTACATTGTTGTATATTTATTTCAACTAGAATTATTATTACCTAAACACAATTGGTGACAGTTTTAAGGGAACTTTTGCATGGGGTTGTGTATCTAGTACTTTTTTGATCGATTATTATAATAGTATATCGGGATATTATTATAATATATCTTTGAGATACTATTATAATAGGTTAGTGTGAACGAAGCCATATAATATCAATATGCCAATGATTTTTTTTATATAAAATTATAACACAAAAGTGTCACAGGAAATGTGTACAGATGGCTAAATTAAATATATCTTATCATACATATGTACCGTTTAGTTCGAATATTACTTAGATCTTCAAAAGATGCTTTATGCCATCGTCTTTAATATGTAAATTTTGTCCATAATTTTAACATTTTTTATTCTTGTCTTCTAATATTCGTCAATA